ATCCAGCACATGATGGGGCAGCTCGAGCAGTTCCGGCCGATGCTTGTCAAGCAGCACCACCGCCTCTTGCTGCTGCGGCACGCGACGTGGTGCCACGCGGCCGACTGCAAGGTGACGGACTGCGCCGAGATGAAGACGCTCTGGAACCACATGCCGACGTGCGGCCAGACGAGCAAGTGCGGTGTCCAGCACTGCATTAGCTCCAAGTACTTGCTGAACCACTTTCAGCAGTGCAACATCGGGCCGTGCCTCGCGTGCCAGATCGTGCGCGTGCCACTGGAGGCCAAGGACGCGGCCGGCCAGCATGATCATCTATATGATGATGTGTGTAACAAGCTGGAGCACTGTGTGTTGTAACCAAGGGTATATAATAATTATTATATACCCTTGGTTGTAACACATCATAATATGAGGTCAGTCAAAACAAAAGGCCGCGTTAGCATATTTGAGACGGTTTTGGAGTACTAATCGATAATTGATCAATATTCTATGGGGAATCGACTGGTGTAGCTCTTTTGGACAGAAACGTCGTACTTTTTGTGCTAACCGGGCGCGAAAGGGAGTTAGGGTAGCCTATCAGCGACCTCCTATCCGCCTCTGACGTTCTTAAGCTCGATCATTGGCTCTCTCCTATCATCACCTTTCGAAGCAACCAATAAAATCGCTTTCTGGCGACCAATCAAAAGCGCTAAAAGCTTTGGAGCCCGTTTTCTCAAATCGTTAGCAGGCCGCTAACGAGTCCTTTTGTTTTGACCATCCTCTGTGGTGCGATATTATCGCACCACAGCCCACCACAGCCTAATTTATACGACACCTCATAATAATCCACTTTGAGTGAAATTACACATCATAAATTTTCGTTCTTTTTGGCTGATTTGGTGGGTGAGTTATTTTGAGGTATACGGTACATCAATGCATAAACAATCGTGAACGAGGTACGATAGTTCATTCATCGATGGCTAAAATACAGTGCGCGCACTACAGATTGGCTATCATCTGCTATCGGAACGTGGATTTGGTCAAGTTGCTGTGGTATCTTCCGGTTATCATCCGTACGGGTCATGGCGCTTTTTGATTGGCCAACTACGAATCTTGAACGGTCGTCAACCGCGGGGATGGAGCCGTCCGACGCGCCGACACCGACGGACGCTGCCGCACCACCGATTTCAGACACAGATGACAACGCATCGAACGAGGCATCCACTGAAGAATCGATGGACAACCTTCCTGTGGAGGCACCGCCACGCACACCGTTGGAGCAATTCGAGGATGCCATCGCGGCGGCCGAGCGGGCATGGACAATCAAGCTGGACGAGTACGCGCGACGCGTCACCGCGCTGCGTGCCAGCACCGCGTCGATCAAGCAGGCACATCAGGCGTCTACGAGTGCCCTCCAGAAGCAGCTGCACGAGGCGCAGCTCAAGCACAAGTCGCTCTTCACCAAGTGGACCAAAGAAAAGGAAGCGCGGGCGGCCGAGAAAGAGTGGATTGCGGATGCATGGCCGTCCGAAGTGGCCCTGCCGCCCACTGTGCTGCGTCCGTTCATGAAGGATCTGCCACCGACGCCGGCCGAAGTGAACGCGCGGGCCGCGACCGCACACATGCAGCTCGCGCTCCTGACAGAGGCCAACGAGATTGTCTCGCGCATGGCCCAGGCCAAGCAGTGGTCGCTTGTCGATGGCAGCTACTTTTACAACGCCATCACGGGCGAAAGTGCCTGGGAAAAGCCAGCCATCATGGCGTACGAGCCGCCGCTGGGCTGGGACAAGAAGAAGATGGCGTGGCGGGAGGGTGTCGTGCTCACGCTCCTGACCGACGTCACGCCGAGACACACGACGCAACTTGTTGATCCAGTGACAAATCTCGACGACGCCGCAGAGGACAGCAAGGACGCGACGAACGGAGCGCCGGTCGCCGTCGACGACGACGACTACGACAGCGACGCCGAAGCCGAGGCGCTAAATCCACTCGATGTTCGGCGCCAGTTTGAAGACAAGCGAGACGAGATAGAGCGCCGGGAGGCGCTTCTCCGCGGCGACCAGCTCGCCCTCGAAACACTGAGTCAGCAGCTACAGAAGGTGGTTGGTCACCGCCTTCGCGCCGAGGCAAAAACCATAGACGACGAGGCCCAAGCGTACATTGCCGCGGAGCGCAAGAAGATTGCAAAGCAACAGCGTGAGCTCGCGGCCGCCAAGGCCGAGGCCGACGCCAAGCTCGCGAAAGAAAAGGAGCTCAAGACCGGGCGCAAATCGCCGGCGAAATCTCCGGTGGGAAAGGCCGTCGAGTTTGAAGCACCGCCCGAGCCCGAGGTTATCGCGCCCGTCGACCCGGACCGACCGCGGCTCTGTGCGCCGCAGAGTGTTGTGCCGGCCGTCACCTTTCACAAGGTCGCGGACGCAGCCTACCAGCACATGCTGACGCTCCAGTCCGACATCAAGGCGTTTGTCTTGCGCGAAGACGCCTTATGGGAGAAGCACGACGCGTTCCGCGGGCGGCTTGAAGCACTGGTAGTCGATACGACGGAGCGCATTGAAGTGCTTGAGGCGCGAAAGGCAGAGCTGGAAGAAAGCCTCGAAGGCGGGGCCGACGAGCTCGCCGAGTTACAACGACCGCTACCGCAGCCATCGCTCGCACCCGGTACGTCTAGCACTCAAGTTGATACATGGCCGACACATTGATATTTACAGAGGACGAGGACGGTCGGTCGCGCTTCGATGTGTACGACCAAGCCATGGCAAAGTGGGATGCCACGGCCGCTAGTCGTGCGCAGGAGGCGCAGGAGCTCGAGCACAAGCTGCGCGAGTGGGCGCACGAGCTCAAGCACCAGCCGACGCCATCCATTCGGGACAGCCTCGCGTTCTACGAAGCGGTCGTCGCGGCTGAAGTCGAGCGCGGTGCGAGTCTGTGGGCCAAGAAGACCGAGTACCTTGTGTGGCGCACCAAGTCGCTTGTAGACCGCACGGCGCGGTATCGTATCAACGTATCAACTTGATCTTTTCTCACACCAACGAACTACAGGGAAGAGCGGTTGCACGTGCTGCAAAACAACTTGGTCGATCTGGAGATGCGCCTCGAGGCGGCGAAGCGCGTGCCATTGCAAGCCATGAATCTGCTCGAAAAAGCCAAGCTAGAGGCACTCTCCGATGCCCAGTGCAGCTACTATTGCGTCAAGATCCAAGCTGCGATCGACGAAATCGACCGCGAGGAGAAAGGCCTTGTCGACCTGATGGCGTACGAGATGCATGCGCTACGCTTTCATAACGCCCGCCTTGACGAGGAAGCGCTGCTGCAGAGCGATGCGGAAAGGCTCTGGAACGACGCGCAGGCCGAGCGAACCTTGCTGGATGCGATCGACGTCGAACAAGCCGTCCTTGCCAAAGCGGGATTGCCGCTCGCGCCCGCCACGTCACCGGCGCGCCTGGTTCTGCTTCGTCAAATGATTGCACTCAACTACGAGCGGGAGGCGCGCTGGCGCGCCCTCGCACGACTCGAGCGAACCGACGAAACCATCTGGCTCCAAGCCGACGAGTGGCTGCTCACGCAGCAATCGCAGCGCTACGAAGCGCGCCTCCGCGACCTCGAGAGCGCCCATGCGGTGACCATCTTTGGTCTGGAAGAGACCATCGAGAAGCTGCAGGCGGAGCGCGCGATGGCAATTCTGCACCAACGCCAAGTCGAGCACGAGAAGGCCACACTCATCGCCATGCTGCAGGATGTAGGACGTCCTATTTAGAGACTAGACAAATGATTGTCCTGTGCTAGGTCGACCGCGTTGTCGACAAGACAACGGTCGAGACGCTGCGGCTCTTGAAGCTCGAGATCCAGCGCCTCGAAGCCGAAATTGTCGCGATCAAAGCCGCCTACGACGTGCAGATCGAAGACCTTGTCGCAGAACACACTGCCGCCCGGCAGGTGCGAAGAGAGGCAGCCATGGGCCAAAGGCGATCGCAGTGTAGGCACTGGAAACCAAGCTGGAAGTGACGCTTGCCGACGCAACGCTTCGCATGCAGTGGCTCAAGGCCGTTAAGTGCGAGCTCTCCGACCACAAGGTGCGACGCCGTCCTTGCAACCGCGATGGGAATCTCAGCGCAGGTGCTCAACGAACACCTTTTGGTCGGCATCGCCGCGCTCGAGAAGCGCCGCGCCGCCGAGATCAACGACATGCAAGCGCGCATCGTCAACCAACTGAGCAAGATCCACCGACTAGAAATGTGGAACATGTCACTCAAGCAGTGCATCGAAGCCAGCAACGATGTCATGGTATGTCACACGTTGTCGTCGTCATCTTGGATCGTCTATTATGGTGCGTATAGCTCAAGTACCAGCGAGACCTCGAGGCCAAAGTCCAAGAGCACCGAAAGGACCAGCGACATCTGCGGCGCGAGATCTGGCACCAGCGCGTGAGCGTGCAGCTGCTGCTGGCAAACGCGCACCACCTCGTGCGTTTTTTCCTCCAAGGCATTGCGCACCTCTGCGGTCACGCCAACGACGCACTGCGGGACGCGTCTGTCATTCCCGTACACTGTCCGACGTGTGACAAATACATCAACTTGATACATAGATTCTTGTCGCGCTGTGCAAGGCACCAGGTGTCGCGGCCGATTTGCGCACGCTCGCGACCGCGTCGCTTGGTAAAATCGCGTGGAACCAGCCCCAGTCCCAGCGCTACGTGGGGTGGCAAGCCAAGACGAGTACGTTCTCTAATGGCACCAAACATATGGCAATACGTGTCCTGCAGTGTGGCACAACTGGGTCCAACTGCTCACGAAAGAAGCGTACGCTGTCCTGGAGGAGACCAAATGCGACGACTTTGATGCGTCCATGGACATGGCGTCCGAGGCCATGAACGTGAGCGCCGACCCCCGCGAGCACGAGAAGTACCAGTCGCACCTCGAACGGCTGCACGTGCTGCGCGAAACGAAGCGGTGGCCTCACCACCCGACGCCGCCCGACTGCTGCGTGAACGAGACCAACCTCCTTGCGGTCGGCGATTCGGACGGGGCGCTCCCGATCTTGCTCGGTCTCTGTGGCCCGGGGCACCCGCAACCGGTCCGTGAGAGCGCGCTCGCCTCGATTGCGATTTTAGCACTCCACGCGCGCAATACCCACCTCATGGGCCGTACCCCGGGGTTTCTCCAAACACTCGTGGACTTGGGCAAAAATGCATCGTCGTCGCCCATCCTGCAAATGCATGCACTGCACTCGCTCGGCAATGTCGCGTTCAACAACCCGACCAACCAGTCGGTTCTGTTGCGGCTCGACGCGCTTCCGTTGCTACTGCACTGCTGCAAGACGCAGCGCGACGTCGATGTGCTGGATGTGGCCACGGCGGCGCTTGCAAGCTTAAGCCAGCGCCACGAAGGCGTCGGGTTGGCCTTGCTCCACAGCGACGGTATCCTTCAGCTCCTCGAGCTCGCCCAAGCGCCCTACTTGAGCGACGCGGTCGAAGACAACAAGCTGGATTGCATCCAAGGCAACATCGCCACCGTGCTCGTCCACGTCATGGAGAGCTGCGCCAACGGGTTCCGGGCGCTCTGTGCCAAGGCGCCGGAGACATACGTCACGCTGTGCCTCCAGCTCTGCGGATCGCCCTTCACCACGGTGCAGCTCGCGGCCGTCATGGTGCTCGGGCACTTGGCCATGGACGACAGCCTCCGCGAGTGGCTTGGTGACCACGACGCCATCGAGCTTCTCTTAGCCTTCTTACCGGACGAGGGGCCACCGCCTACGACCCCGGCGAACGAGCGCCACGACGAGTCGAGCGTTGGCCTCGACGACGACGACCTTCCGCTGCAAGTGACGTGGGCTCTCATCCAACTGAGCTGGCACCGCGACAACCAAACGCGGCTCGCGCTGCATTTGCCCAAGCTGTATACCTACGCCACCCACGCGCTCGGCCGCGTCCGCGTCCACGTCTTGACGATTGTCGCCAACGTACTGTTTTACCACCCCGAGAATCGAACCGCGGTCCTCGCCGACCCACACCAGAGATGGATTGGCCTCTGTCTGCACCTCTGCGAGGCCTTTGCCACTACGCCGCAGCTCGAGGCGAATGCAGAGGTCGTCGAACACGCGGTGCGCGCGCTCACGGGCTTGAGCTACGACGCGCCATTTGCAAGCGGCTGCGACCACCTCCGCACGTGCATAGCCGTGCTCGCAGCCAGCGATATTGACGCACCGCTCGTCGCACTCGCGCTGCAGTGGCTCACCAATCTCTGCGTGCTGGATACGCAAAAGAGCGTCTTTGCCCACTGCGACGGCGCGACCGAGACGGTCGTGCGGCTCTGTGGCGCCAACGATCGGCATGTGCGCGACAAGGCACAGACGGTGCTGGACCTCGTGGGCGACGCCCGGCCGCGCTGGCGGCAGTAACGACGAAACAATGTGTCAGTGACGAGTGTCTCGTGGCCTTGTAGCCACGGTGCGTCCATTCTATCTATCCAACGACCGTAACTATCTATCTATCTCTCCAACTATCCGATCGATGTAATAACTCGGTTCGAGAACAACTATCGGATCAATTCAGATACCGGTATAGCATCCGATAAACGATCCACGGCACACATGGGACGGAGGCATGGGACACGGCGCGCTCGTAACTAGGGGCGGGAAGCAACGGTCGTCGCGCGGGTGGGATCCGAGAACCTCTGTAGACGCAGTCACACGTGTTGCAGCTGGAGATCATTCGATTACCTGTGGCTACAAGAAGCTATCGTCACGGCTGTCGACACCACACGGCTGTCGACACCACACACGCCAGCTATTGTGCGAGTGCGTGACTTGACCCCAGCTATGTTGCATGGTGCGAACGCATCGGCAGTCCACCTTGCGGCGACAATTGCCACACGGGCTATCCGGTGCACGCCTAGACGATGGAGCGAAAAGTGTCTTGTGTCCGCGCAGACAAGTTGTCTGTGTTTCGTGAAGAGACATTGGTCGGTCGTTCCTGCGGTCACTCGGCTCGGGCGTTGCCTAGTACACATCGTGGCTTCATTGCGGACATTCTATTAGCATTTATTTCATGGTGGTGTGTCCTTGTGCCAGAGCGTACTCGCGAGTCTAGTGCGAGTGGGGTCGTTGATAAATTAGTGGCAGGGCTCACGCCACGCGCCGCTCGTCGTTCAGCGGCAGCGGGTGCTGCACCTGCGTGAGCGCAATCCAGACCACAGCCGCAGCCTTTGTGAATTGAATCGGCTCCTCGCAGTACTCGCAACGCATGTGGTCGTCTTCGGGCACGGTGCAGAGCACGCTGCGCTGGTGCTGCTCCATCTTGGCGTGGTAGAGGTCTTCGAGCGTAAAGGGAACGCGGCGCCCGCCGACCACGGTCACGTTGGTGCGCGCTGCGGGCCACTCGACAAAGCGATGCCGGATCTGGGCCTTGATGTTCAAATCGACTTCGTCAACATCTCGAAACTTGAAGAGCGACGAGGTCGACCGCAGGAGCCGCTTGGACGACGAGCGGCAGACGCAGTCGCGCACGAGAGACGTGGGCACGATCGCCGATGACTCGCGGAAGCAGCTCGTGAAAAAGCCCATGCTGCAAATTCAAAAATGCAGCGCGCCGACGCCAGCGCGCGATCGCTACTCACCATGGTGTCGCGCGTTACTGCGACGTGCCGGCGGACTGTACAACGACGCCTCGGAAGACAGGCGCTCTCGGTGAGGCCCATGGAGAGCATTTCAGATCTTAGTGCGCGCACAGGTGTGGACGTGCCGTTGCGTCAGCGCTTGGCATGGCGCTCCTCGCCGACAGCGCGTGTGGCGAGCGTCGACGGCCCGTTTGATCCGCCAATCAAACGGCGATGTTTAGAGATTTCCATCATTCTCGATGCAGGATTGGTGGGAAATAGGGATGACGTGGCACGGTACCGAAGGTGCATCCGGATACTTGCGGCGCGGGTGGAAGAGCGAGCGCCGACGACGCTAGCCGGCCCTGCTGATGCTGTTTTCCGACAGCGTCATTTGCACTTCTATATCGATAACAGTCCTACTGCTATGCATGCGTAGTAGAATGCAGTGTGCCATCACGGAAGGGTGCCATGCTCCTCTTCATTATTACTCCGTGGACAAATGTATGAAGAAGTGAGTAGCCCTGGGGTACAATCCATCCTCGCAGGATCGGCACCGTCGCAAACCTATCGAGCGATCCAGTCGTCGAATCGGATCGTTTTGGATACTATACTGGTGGATAAAAAGTCATCATTGACACTGTTATCTATCCACCGACCGTGTTCGTACCATGCGGTCCCTGCCGCTGCAAACCTGGATTGCAAGATGGCCAACCTTAGCGTAGTGCGTGGCCTCGAGGTATAGCTTGGCACCCGTCTTGCAGCACAGTGTCCTCGACGTTGGTAGCAGGCAAGGCTCAATTACTTCGTTTCGAATTGAATTATGTGCACGGTACACAATGGCGCGTGCGACGGAAATGAAAATGAAAATTAAATTAAATACGGTCGGGGAAATTTACAAGTGGGTCTCGACGCTGGGAGGCGACCGGGGACGGCGCACGAGCGTGAGCGCAATCCAGACCACCGATGCGGTCTTGTTGAAAAGGAGCGCCTCCTCGCAGTGGTCGCAGCGTGCGCGGTCGTCTTCGGGCACAGCACAGAGGACGTTGCGGTAGAGTGCGTCGGTCTTGGCGTCGAAGATTTCATGCGGTAAAAGCGGCACCTTGCGGCCACCGACGACCGACTTGGACCGGCGCGAGGGCTCGATGAACTTGTGCCGGATGCGAGGCAGGCTCTGGGGCGGGAGGACCGAGGAGCGTCCGAGTTTCGCCTCGAGCTTGGCGGCCGCGACGTCACAGATGCAGTCGACGAGGGTTCGGGGCGCGGGGACAATGATGGCCGAGGACTCGCGGTAGCAGGTCGTGAAGAGGCCCATTGCGGCCGCGCCGAGTGAATTCAAGAATGACTGGCCAAGTGCAGGACGATAGCGCCGATATAAACTTCGAGTAAGCGTGTCGCGCACTGAGTAACACACCAGGTGGTTGTCCATATGGGATACATAGCGTTGCAGCGTGTGCCACGCAGCAAAATGCCACCGAGCAGAAAGACCGCAGTAAACAACGCTATCGGTGGCGATGCTGGATCTGGAAAGGAGGTTCTCTGTAACCTGTCCGTTAAGCCGTCGTCGACGGTGCTGGTTGTGTCGCTGTGAGGGCATTTGTTGGAGGTAGAGGCTCGATGCAGGGCTTGCTCTAATAGAAAGGGGCCAATCGCCGCGCAGAGATGTGGTGCGCAGAGTGGGATCTTGTGACGTGGCGAGGCCTCGTACGGAGGAGTGCGGAGCGTCCCAGATCTTTGCCTCCCTTGGCGGCACCAGCAGGCGCGTTGCATCGGGACTGTAGCGCTGCTTGTGTGGCGCTGAGTGCAGGTCGCATCAACAGCAGGTTCAACGGATTCAGGCCGTCTACGAGTGTTGTTCGTCGAACAACCGCCTCTGTTTTTCCTACTACAGCTCGTATCAAGTTTGCTCATGGTGCTGCGGCGACACGCATGTGTGGCTGAGAACCTTCCTATGTGAGGCAGAGAGCACTCGGGCGTCCGCATGGAGTGCTTGCTTGCGCTGCCTTGAGACTGCCTCTGCATTGGCGTCGTGTACGACTGGCTGAACGCAACTGAACGTTGCATATATGAAACTACGATCGATTCATAGTTACCACTTCACCCTCCCAGATTAGAATGCCATGAACGGCTCGTTTGGCAATCGGCAATGGATTGCGCAACGGTGTCGGGCATTCAGACACCAAGTCTCTATGGTTCGCGTTCCAATTGTACGGGTATTTGCTTTCTCACGGTCTCGCCGTGCTTCGTGAAGGTCGCTCACAACTGCACTTGGCACGTCGCTACTGTTAGTGAGTTTGTTGGCACGCGTGTGGTTGATGCGTCGTGACGACTGCGAAGACGTTGTTGCGAATGTCCTGGTTATCGGTCCACTTCTGTAGCTACCGGTGGATCAAAATACCAGTATTGGCGCTGGCCCACGATCCGAGCCCGCCGAGGTGTATGTAGCAGCATCGAGAGAACTATAGACCGAGTCTGTAGACTGCATCGGCGTCAAGTGGAGGTTCGGGCACTAGAATCAAAAGACGACAGCCTTTCGCAGGTTCGAAACGTGCAAACAACAAACGACACATAAACGACCCAAGGGCCAACGCAAAAGGTATACTACCTATGACGATACCGGAAGCGAGCTTGCAAAAGCCGCTGTCTTGGGAGGACGTGCGGTGTCTCGCCGCTTTTGAATTGTACACTTGCTTTCCACAGTCGAGACGTCTTTCAAGTACACACCTGTCCGAACGAGCAACGGCTTCGAAGAGTCGAGCTGGTAGATATGATGGCCTGAGAAGCACGCAGGATGGGTTATCGCCGTCTCTGCGAATGATCGCTCCGACTCAATGGATCCCAGCAGAGACTCATCGTTGATTGATACCGGTATTTCTCCAGACGAAAGCCTCGATTGCTCCAGGTTTGTCCGCCGGCTACGTCGGTTTGATTCACGTTGAACAAAGAGCGGACGAGCGTCTTGTCATTTTTCTGGTCCACCAACGGAAAATTGGCCGCGCATCTGATTCAGTCTCACGTCAGACTGGTCGTGACATCTCGTCTCGGCTTCCATCGTTCCTCAAAGGCTTTAAACGCGATGCACGTGCAATTGCTTGCTGGGCAATACTCTCATTTCTACAGATTGCTTTGTCTACTAATACTGGATTCAAAGAAGCACGGTGGTCCTGGAAGCGTCCAATTCGATGATGTGCCGCGCCATTTACGCTCAAATGGTACTAGATTTTGGATTTAAATTTTTGTCGCAAGACTATTCTATTCATCGCGCAGAGTGCTCACCCATGTCCAACACTTTCCGTGTCCTACACTAGTGAAAGCATGCCAACGCGAGCCAACGCGGGCTCGGTCATCTCTGTCCACACAGTCGTGTCTGCCAACGACAAAGCCCACCGTCTGGCTGAGGCTCTTGTACGTACGCCACGTACAGTACATTGACATACATACACTTCTATATATACACTCATACTACACGTACATGATGTACCATGTGTACAAGACCATATGGTCTTCCTGGAAACATGCTCTGGGCGGCAACCACCGATGCGTCGGTGGCGATGGCGCCTTGCTGGGCCACGTTAGCTCGGTATACCTGCGCTATCGAACTACTGGGCAGCTTATCTACTTTTTCATTGACGTCTAGCGGACGAGCTTCCTCGAATGAAACACTACACCGTGTCGACGCCGACGTTAGCCTCGATGATCCAAAAAACACATTGTCCATGGCGGGGCAAAACAACTCATGGCGTCCCACTTCGTCTACCGCAACCGAATGTAGAAAGTGCAGGCGCCAATTGTAGGTGTGCACGCCTTCTCTTTTCGATTTTCTCTACAAGAAACAAAGATGACGACCTTTAGCACGACGACGACGTGCATCTTTGACGGCTGCGCGCTCCCGAGCCGCCTTAACTCGATCAAGTGCATGTTCCACCGCAACCGCGGCGTCTGCAAGTCGCCCCATCGCCGCAACCAAGTGTATGCGCGCCAGCTCTGCGTCTCGCACGGCGGACGCAACCCGTGCCAGGAGCCGGGCTGCGACGCCAACGCCCGTCTTGGGCAGTACTGCTGTCGGCACAGCATCGCGGCCAAGAAGCGTCTCCGTGTCTCACCCAGCCCGCGTCTGTGCTGCTTTGAGGCACCGCCGCACGCGCCGGCGGCCATTGTTGGAGTCACCGACACCGATCGCCGTTGGTTGGCATTGAGCCTATCCCCGTGCACGCGATCGAGCACGAGTTGCGAATGGACGAGGATATGCTCGATCTTCTTCGGCTACTGCTCCGCGGCGATGGCGCCACCCACGGGTGGAATGAAGCGACGATGCGCACGACCCATCACGCGGGTGGCACCGAAATGGTTTAATTTTTCACATCTTTACGAAAATCCAAGATTTGAGAGTTGTTTGGATCCAGCTCCAGAAGCGACGAACGGCCATCCCGACCAGCACCCATAGAGAACGGATCCTTCTGCGCTGTATATACTACGCTGCTGCACCGTAGAAGGGCTGTACGGAAACACCGAGGTGTGCCGACGTTGCGTTGGTATTGGGTACGGCTACTCTTGCTCACATCAACCAAAAGACAAGCGATGGGACATCGGCCGAAACGAAGAGCTGGTCGGCAGCCTGCGAGTAACTCTGCAGTGGTGCGGCAGAGTTGTCGCTGAGAGGACGTACTCTGTCGTTTCAAGCTTCCTTCGTGCTTGCCGGAAAGGTTGTGCTGGGAAGAGATGTGCCACCGTTGAATCTTATCATCGTTTCGTCGTTATCAAGCTCGAGTTGATCATATTCGGCACTACTCGCACGCCCCAGCGTCTGCGTCGACGCTCTCACCTCCTCTGGTACTACGATGGCAACGGTGGCGCCACCACAAACGCGGCCGCCTTTTTTATGACACGAGATCTTTTCAGTGCCGTTGGTGCATGCCGTACAGTAGCTTGCCACTGCAGCAATTTGGCTCGACCTGCTGGCTCCGATCATTTTGCTCGAAGCGTGTCATTTCTCATTTTGCCATGTCGTGCTGCTTTAACAAGTGCTCCCAGCCATCACTGCCACTCAGCAACAAGTGCGCCTTTCATCGCAACCGCCGTTCGTGCCAAGTCGACGACTGCCACAACCAAGTGTTTGCACGCAACCTCTGTGTTCGCCACGGCGGCAAGCGCCTCTGCAGCTACCCCGAGTGCCTGTCCAACGCGCGCATAGCCGGTCGTTGCGCGCGCCACGGAACCGACGCGCCCAAGCGCACGTGCAACGAGGCGAGCTGCTACAGGATCGCGCACCGGCTCGGGAGGTGCATTCGCCACGGCGGCGGCCGCCCGTGCAAGACGCGCGCGTGCCCGACGCATGCGCGCAGCGGCGGCTACTGTTGGCGCCACCGCCCAAGTGTCTCGTCGCCCGTGACCGCAGAGTCGCCGCAGGACCTCGAATCGCCCCGATGGGAAGCGCTCGACGCCCTCGATGCGCATATTTTGGCCAGCGTCCTCGCAGACGTCGACCCGGGCTGCCTCGTCACGCCACAGGGTGTCCCCGCCCTGAGCGTGACAGGCTACGTGGTGGTGCTTTAGTAACGTTAATCGCACCACAAGTTTGCGCATGTGACGCGTTGTCTCTATTGTACCATCTGCATTTCCAGTCGTCACGACGACGATGCTTCGGAAGGCAACCATGTAGCGGCGGTGGATGGCGTGAGCTGTAGAATGGTGAGAGGAAGAGCCCATTGGCCGCAGAATGGCAGCCATGTTAACCAGCCAATGCCACGCTGAGTCGTTCTGTCCAGAGAGGAGGAGCACCAAACTATCATTCACGTGGCTTTCCATATGGTGGACCTTGTGGCTGCCGTGGGAATGGAGCCCCCACGCGTCGTTGCCCCACGTAAGCTCCAGCTCCGATCATTTCTTTGGCCGCTGGACTTATATTTTGATTCAGACGGATTTGAAGTTGCAGGTTATGACCACCCAAACCCGCTTTTTGCTACTCTTTTTCGCGGTGGACCAGCCTTGGGCTACCGCTATTACCGGTGTACTACGTGCGACGGCTACTACCTCGTAGTGACGACTCGTTTACCAACACGAACGCTCCTCACTCGACGCAACGGCCACGCCTCACGAGCGCCCTCGGAATCTTCATAATTGCAGGAAATAACTCATTCAACACCGAAGCGCGTTTACTAATAAGTACACCTGGAACTTGGAATCGCAGGTCCAAAACCAAGATTCCAACAATGTCCCAACGTGCATAAAAGGGTTCCGGCTGGTTGTGCACGATAGGAAAGGCTTACTGTAGTCGAGTAGCTTGAGCTTGGAGGAGGCGTCTCGTCGTCTGCGACTGGCTCCTGTTTACTATATGCGGCCCACCGCCGACCTCGGTCGCCACACCGTTGTCGCAAGCGGTAGAGAGGTCTTTGGAATGCTTACTAATTTCCCCAAGCATACAAATCCAGTATGAGAACATCCTAGTCCGGTCCGTCGCTCGCTGGCGACCGGCTGGAGTTAGTGGTTCTTCAAGCCAACAGAAAGGATCTTTTGTCCGTCGCCACGGCTTCTACCGTATGGTCCCATCCACGTCGTTTCGGCTCGGGACTGTGTCTGCGCTCGGCCTGGTATCATTCTTCGATTTCCCTCCGACCCACCAACAGTCCACACACCATGACGTGCTACTTCAACGGCTGCCAACAGCCCGCGCGCATCAACGAGTCCACGTGCGAGTTCCACAAGCACCGCCGCGCCTGCATCGTGCCCGACTGCCACAACCAGGTCTTTGCGCGCCAGCGCTGCGTGCGTCACGGCGGCAGGCGCCAATGCACCGCGCCCAACTGCACGGCCAACGCGCGCATGGACGGCGTGTGTGGACGCCACGGCGCCCGCATCGTGAAGCGCATCTGCACGATGGAGGGCTGCACCAGCGTCGCCCACCGCGACAACAAGTGCATTCGCCACGGCGGCCGCCGCCAGTGCAAGATCGACGGCTGCGAAACCCACGCGCGCAGCCGCGGCTACTGCTGGCGCCACCGACCGGTGCCCAGTATCGCGATCGAGGACGGTCCGGACGCCGACGACGTCTTGAGCAACGACGACAGCTCGGTCAACGGCGGCGACAACGTCGAGATGAACAACGACAAGACGCAAGACGTCAACGGCATGACAAGCCTCGACGTGGCGATCTCCGACTATATGCAGCAGGCGCTCGACCGCGAGTTCAATTGGATGATCGACATGCAGATCCTCGATGTGCTGTGCGACGATGGCTTTTGGGCCAATATCGTCGTCGGTGATCCAATGGACTTGTGGTTGCCGTGATCGAGCATTATATATATTTATGAATCAACCTTTTATCTTGTACATCAACCTCGTGTCTTGTGCGTTAGTCGATGATGGTTGGGCGAATGGCGACGAAGTCTTCTCTATAGCTGAGTAGTAGAAGGGATGCTGGTGCATTGGTTTTTATCTGAAGCCTTTACTGAAACAAGATCATTTGATAACCTCTTTTTTGGGCGTGGTACTAATGGACAATGCAGTGCCCATCGCTGTCCGAGCCAAGGAAGCATCTCCAGGCAATTCAAGAAACTGAGGTGCTCGTTGCATACGCGCTCCCACGGATGGCTTGTCGCCCAGCTGGTCGGCATCTCAGACTGCATGTACAGGCGCGGTTCAGCAGCGCTGGACTGTCAAGTTCACGCTGAGAAGCCAAGGTCGAAGCCGGGTAACGTTTCACCCATCCATGGCTAAACAGCTAGCACACAGGCGCGCTACAGTGGCTCGAGCTACTGGCTCGGCATCCAAACGTGCAGTGGGGGCTCTACTAAACCTGCCAGCTGCGTGGACTCCTTTCGTACAGCAGACGCGACCAGTTCCATTTTCGTAGCATCAACTTGTTTCTTGGCCCAAATCCAAATGCTACCAAGCGGCGACGAGGATCTGTTGACAAGCACTGATGTGTGGAGTCCTGTGAGGAGCCCAACGTTAAACCCATTGCATGAAAAACGTGCGTCCAGCGCTGGACGATGAGTCTCAAGAACCTATGTCATCGCGCACGACCCGATTTCACTCGGTTTAGCCAAAGGTAGTATTTGGGCCATCATTTTCTGCCAAGAACCTGTCCGTTCATGCACACCTCTGAAGCTTTGTCTCGTCTGGCAGCTCGCACTCGAACAAATCGAGAGGAATACTTGGGCAGGTGTCCAGGCGCATCAAGGTGCGACACAGCAGAACGTCCCTCTGGCACGAACGATTCATCGCCGCCTCGATCCCACCCTAGTGTTTCCCTTCCTCCATGGCGACCGGCAGGTTTACTAATGTGGGATCGAAGTTGCACATCCCGGGCCCTTTTCTACTTTTCTCCAAACGAGCGGTGCTCGTACGCGCGGCCAATCAAACGACTTGCCACTGGCACCACAAACAGTAAACAAAGCAACCCTTTCGGCTCGCGGCTGAGACTGGCGCCAGCTTACGTCAGCTGACGCACAGAAACACGCTCGCAGCCTCAGCCGTGCAGCAGTGGAGCGGGCAGATACCGGTCGCAAATACAGGGCAGATTCGAACGCGCGCAGTGATCGATCATATTTGAGAGGCCAGGACATGTATTTCGGGAGGTTGGGCGCGACACATCCTCCAACCTCGCCGTCGTTGGCCAGCCCTTCCATCGAACATGCAGCACATAACCTGTTGCACGAGCCTCTTCCGGCTCGTCGGCCACGTTGAAGTAAGAGGTGTGCCGAACCGGTGCCCTTCGATAGTAGTAGTACACTGTATTTTTATCCCGTTGACTGTACGGTAGGATCGGCGCTGCTCCTCGCCGAGCGTCCTCGCGACCTCCACCGAGCCTCCAAGCACCTCGATTCCGCGCTGTTGCTGGCCGGGGCGTCGTCGGGATCACGCCACGCTGCGTCGTCACGCAACTGTCTTGTATGCACCGTTGGCACCCAGACCACGGCAGGCCACGTTGCTTTGATGCGCCAATCAGAGCGCGCGAGTACGTGCAAATCAGAGACACGGCAGTGTGCCACGTAAGAGGCGCCAGCGTGGAGTCAGACGCTGCGCTGGCCTCTTCGTGGGTGAACATCTATCATCGCCGCCGCGAAGAACGTACGTTGGCGACTGCGAGCTGTCGTCGCCTCCCTCGCCTCGCCGCAGTCAACACAGGGCGATAGCCATGCCATTGCTACAGCCTTTTACCATGGCAAGGTCTTGCTCGTCGTACATCAATGTGTGGTTCGTGGAGCGTGCGGGTGCTTTGCCGTCGGGTTCGGTGGTTGGAATCACCCGCCGCCTGTCGTGCTGAACCGATATTGTTTCGGTGCTCTGCTCCCCCATGTCACTTCGACAATTGCCAGCCATGAGCTGCTTCTTCAACGCGTGTACCAACCCATGTGTGCCCGACGGGACGCAGTGCGCCTTCCACAAGAACCGCCGCCCGTGCATCGAGCCCGGGTGCCACAACCAAGTGTTTGCACGCTCGCGCTGCGTGCGCCACGGCGGCAAGCGGCGCTGCTCCGTGGACGACTGCACCGCCAACGCACGTCTCTACGGCGTGTGCTCGCGGCACGGCGCCGCGCGCAGCAAGCCCAACTGCACCACCGATGGCTGCGCCAGCGTAGCCCACCGCCACGGCAAGTGCATCCGCCACGGCGGCGGGCGGCCATGCAACTTCGGCGACTGCAAAACGCACGCGCGGAGCGGCGGGTACTGCTGGCGCCATCGCCCCGCGACGCCATACGCGCTCCCGAATGACAAGACGCTGCAAGTGAGCCTCAGTGCCATCAAGGAAGAGCTCCTCGACGCCTCGATCCTGGACGCAGTGCTGGCGACGATCGACGTCGTCGAGCCCTTTGCATGGCTGCTGCAAGTGTAATCGATCAACATGAACACTGCGTATTGTATGAGATAGCACATTGTTGTGTCGTCCTCGAGTCCATGGGCGCATTGCCGCGCCAGGCGCCACAGCAAAAGGCTGTCGTGATCTTCCATCGCACCGCGTCTTCGTAAGAAAAAGACAACCATGGCGTCTGCACGGCAGACCTATTAGTACCGACGTTGATCACATCCAACTATCCAACTATCCAGTATTGGTATGTAGGGGACGCACTAAATTTAGCCAAGGATGCGCCCGAAAGGAGTCGTGCCGACAAGCACCGTGCACCCCTTCAGCTCCAGCGCCCACCTCCGGCCACCGACGCCCGAGAGACGACGGGCCAAGCCTTCTGGCCACCGCGAACGCCGCCGCACCCCGCCACCCAATTTGCCCCTCGGTACAATCTCTCCCGACGACCGTTTGCGCTTATAGTTGTCTTAGACACCAGCGGTCGATTCGTCGCTCGCGACCAAGCGCCGATCCCAGCCACGCGACCGCCACGCATCGTTCCCAACCAAGACTCGATCCAGGAGATTATCGCTACGTACCGGCGCATGGTGCTGGCGCCGACGATGGAACCGACGCACCTAATGGCGCCGCTGCGGCCAAAGTCGGCAGCGCCCACAAGCTCACTTCGGGCAGCCAACCCGGTCGCCTTTACATCGAGCGTTCTATCGGGGCAACGAGTGCCGATCGTGCGCATGCCAGACGTCCCGGTGCTGTTTGCCAAGATTGGGCGGCGGCCGCGGGCGCAGGTGGTCGCCTCATTTGATAGCGTAAACGATGGGGTTGTTGTCTGTAGAGCCGGCGACCCGCAAGTGCGACCGCCGCCAGCGCGTCGAGCGTCGACGAGCACGGAAGGCGCCGCGTGACGATTCGCATGACGCACTTGGGCTTATCCTGAGCGGCGAGAGGACCTCAAAAGTTGGAGTACTGTCGTATAACGGAAGCTTTGCAAACCACTCCATTTTTACAAGGGCGACCCGATGCACGAGGGCCCCAGACGTGGGACCTGCGATTCGAAATGGACTTGCTTCAACGACGAATAAGACCTGCTTACCAACACTACCTTTGCGAGAGTCTGTCTTGCTGGACATCACAGCGAGTGTGTATATTGTGTTGGGTTGCTATCCTCGAGGAGTGCTGTTGTCCCGAGCCAAGGCCCATGATGATAGACAACCGCTGCAAATCGGTGCAAATTTCCTGGAACCGAGTCTACCGTCAACACTTGTAGGGATGGGCTGTATCCAGTGGCATCTACGAAGGTTGGGTGTACATGGCTCCTGCTTCGCAAGCTCTCCTTTGTTGGTTAGCATGTCTTCGGTGGACACTGCCAAACCAAGGGACCCGAAGCATTCCACCGTGCTGCCTTCCACTTCAATCCCAACGTTAGTGCGCTGTGAATGCACCTGGTGTTTTTGGTTCCTTTTTGAGTCCTGTTTTGTGTTGTATTACACCTTGTCGTCGTCGCATCATGGCTGCTTGTTGTAGAAGCACAGTCACCCGTGTCCTCGAACGCATCGAGCGTGCATGTCCACAGCCCCGTGAAGCTACTCGTTGGAGACGCCGCTTTTGGCTTGGTGTGGCTAAGGACAACGCAAGTCTTGGAGTTTCGACTCGGTGCTTCTGTGCGTGCTAATGACGCGCGCCCTTGAGAACGCGGCACTGGTTGCTTTGGATGTTGCAGTAGACGAAAAGGATGGACGGTAATATCTGAATTCAGGCGCGACACCCAGATCACCGCAGGCCACGTTGTTGCGCCAATCACAACAGACGATTACTTGTGATCGGAGACCGCGGCGGGCGCTCCACGTAAGAAGTGCCAGCATATGAGGCCAGAATCGCATGCGTCTCCATCGGCGCGTATTTAAATCCCTTGAAAAAATCCACCACATGAGCATGCAGCGTCGGCATCTCCTCGAGAGCGCTCTCGCCGTCGCCCCTCGAACTTTTCTGCAGGAGCCAACGACGAGCTCATATGTATGCCAACGCGATGTGCCTACGCGCGGTCGCTTGTCTGCAAGCACACAAAAGCTGGATTCTTGCGATGGGATACCACCATCTCATGCGAATGGCACAACGGTGCATGTGAGATACTAGGCCAGGCAATGATGATAGTGCAACTGGCTCAAATACGACGCGGCTCGTAGTCATTTTCCTTTTGCCGACCCCTTGCAACGACGATGAGCTGCTTCTTCAACGGCTGCGAAAACCCGGTCGTCTCGGGCGGGACCCAATGTATCTTTCACAAGAGCCGCCGCCCGTGCATCGAGCCCGGGTGCCACAACCAAGTGTTTGCGCGCTCGCGCTGCGTGCGCCACGGCGGCAAGCGGCGCTGCATGGTCCACGGCTGCGTCGCCAACGCGCGCCTCCATGGTGTCTGCTCCCGGCACGGCGCCGCCCGCGAGAAGCCCCGTTGCTCGGTCGATGGCTGCGTCAGCGTCGCCCACCGTCACGGCAAGTGCATTCGACACGGCGGCGGCCGGCCATGCCGCTTTGGCGACTGCACGACCAACGCCCGGAGCGGCGGGTTTTGCTGGCGCCACCGCCCTGCCATGCCGTACGCCTTTCCCAGCATCAAGCTCGAGCCTGGTCTGAGCGAAATCAAAGAAGAACTCCTCGATGAGTCCATTCTCGATGCGGTGCTCACGCTGGCAGAGTCGGTCGACCCGTTCCCGTGGCTGCACGCGCAGTGATACTACTTTCTAAAACGAATATACCCAGCTTGAAATTGATATCGAGAGAAGTCTGACGCGATACTTCGTTGCAAAAGAAAAACGCGAGGGCGAGGGTGTGTCATCCCAAGACAAAGCCTTCAACGATACTACATACTAGTACATGTAAGTACTGTACAACTGGAATAGCGCATGTTTCATAGCGCTACCTAGGGTCTATCAAAACTTGCACGAGGCTACTTGAGCTTGTCGTCGTGCAAAGCGGACGTTTGCTTTGTACCAACCATGTATCAACGTACAGTGTATCAGTCGACCACGCACGAGGGACCGATACACGCTGATCTCTCTTTTGGCGTCCACGGCCGACAGAGACGACCCAATCTGCCCCTCAGAACAGTCTCGATCGTAGCTACGAAGGCTGCTTCAGGAGTCGCAGTGCGCAGGCTAGTACTACCTACTAGCAGGTCCGTACTCGATCGCGAGCCTGCCCAAGGTGCCTGCACTATCAGTGACGTCGAGGTAAAGAAGAGATTCGTTCTCCTAAAAAGCCAGCAATGTCTAAAGTTTAGTAACACAAAACTCATTGCAACACACAAATACACACCATAGAGATAGGTTTAACAACTGTAATTCGTCGCTGTCGTCCATTAAATTTGACTTTCAAGCACGGCATCAAAGTAGTCTTCCAGCATTAAATGCCCCTGGAAGTCTGTGCCGTCCGTCTCCGCGAGAAGCGCCGTTAGAATCGAGCAGTCGATGGCTTCGAGCGTAGAATATGTGCACTCGTACTCGACAGGCGACCGAACTGGCGAGGCCACCCGAGTGTTTCCTTTCGCCCTGTCCGGCGTGCGGTGGCGCCAGCAGAAGCCACCGACGCGCGCATGGGTTTCACAATGGTCCTTGCGGCATTGCCGCCCACCGCCGTGGCGAATGCACTTGCCTTTTGTGTGCTGGATGTTGGCGCAACCAGGCTCGCGGCAAAGCTTCTTTCCCGACTTGGGCCCGTGGCGGCAGCAGTAGGGGCCGATGCGAGCATTCGCCGGGCAGTCCGCATGGATGCAAGGCCGGCGGCCGCCGTGGGTGACGCAGAGCTGTCGTGCGTACACTTGGTTGCGGCAAGCAGGCGCCTTGCAGAGGCTGCGGCTCTTGTGGAAATCGCACTTGGTCAAGTTCAGAAGGCGTTGTCGAAAGCAGCCATCAAAAATGCACAACGACATGATAGGCTAATGTAACCGGGATGCGGCGGCGCAGGCGAATTGGGCAATGAGGGCACGTGATCGGAGCCCCGGTTCGGTTGTTGCGTTGTGACCGCGAATGAAACGCCTGGTCCACACCAGAATGTATGCTTGTCACGACAAAAGACCATCTGGTTCCCGACTTCACGAATCGCTCCCTAGGTTTACTAAGACCAAACGGGTCGATACATTTATGTAGTTGGTATGCACACCGGCAAGGACATAAATGGACCACGAGTGTTCCCAAGCAGAATGAATCGAGGCGATAAGAGACCTCAAATGACTGCGAAACGAAAAAACTTGCGTGGTCAATGCAACAAGCCGCTGGATGTCTCCAAGTGGAATTGAAAGCGCAACGATCCAAACAATTGATACCATAAGTCTACCTTGTGGTAAAACTTATGAGTTCCAGATGAGACGCACAGGGCCTGCCGAGTGCCCGAATGGTACCATAAAGAAAGGTTGCGTCGCGAACGATCGCTACGCCTCACTACCAGCAGCGACTTGCAGCCGGAAAGATGTGCGATACATCAATGCCAAAAGAAAACAACTGAGTATCAGGTCATGACGAGGCAGCCATCGATGCCACCTGATTCGACTCCACGCAATTGATTGGCATGTCAAGGGCGACAGGCATGGGCTCCAAGAACAGTAATGGCTCCCATTCCAGTGTCTAGAGCATCGAGAACGTGGCATCATCACGCTGCAGCCGCTCGTGCTGACCCACCACCCAGTGTGACGCCAACGCGTCAAGTCGGTACCAGCAGCGACACCCATGCAAACATCATCGATCGTTCCTGCGGCAACCTAAAGCATTGTACATCCAATCAAATAAGGTCGGTAGTAACGACACAAGTAAACGAGAAGAGTGCCACAGCTGCGTACCCTTGCAGACAGGCGACGGGTTTTCTTGTTTTCAAACACACAGGTTCTCACAGCCTAGTCACTCATAATGCCACCTGGATCACATGCTCGGTCCTGTAGACTGTGGAGCTCGACGGAGTCTGTCGGTCGAAACTTGTAGATACATTGCCTACGGTTTTCACAAAGACCAATGCATTTCACCCACCACAAGCAGCACTCAAAGCTAACACCACCACGCTCTGAGCAGGGCTCTACAATGAAGTGGGCAACTTCTGAGCATCCTTGTCGCGCCGCATGACCACACAATACCCGCGTCTATTGGTGTGCCGTTAGAATATCGCGCTCAAGAGACTCTTGTGCGGGTTGACGACAGAGAACCAACAGATCGTTCCGTGGACAGCTTGCGGTTGGTCCGATGCGAGCCAAAGTCGTCCGAGTGGAGACCGCCAAGTGTTGACAAGTGTTGCTTCTAGAAATGACGACGCATCAAGGCCTCACACAGATCATAATGACGACGCAAGGAGCCGAAACGATTTTCTCGAGAGTGTAAAACGCTCTCATTTTAGATCTCAGCTCCCGCTAAGCAACCCGCCACCCGTCCCCCGAGCCTGGGGCGGTAATTCAGGCAAGACTTATGCCTTCTTCGCCCCCTGAGTCCGCCCGTGTACCGAAAACACACTGACCGTTTGCTGCAGTCTATCTATCAAACGACCTTCGCACGAAGCGAAATGGAGTCCTTGGCTCTAACGGTAACCCAATGTGTGAAGTGTGGCGCTGGGCTCCAATAGTTTTTGGCGAGGTGGCAGATAATCAATAGTTTTACGATCGATTCCAGTATTCGAATGCACTTGATATACCCAAGACGACGCGAGATGGTGATTACGCACTTGCATTCTTCTTGGCCGGTGTGTTAGCTTGCGACAAGAACCATTGACGCAAAATGTACTCTCTGCGCACGTCGTGTTAGGTGGCTTGCGTGATAAGCGGCGAACGTACCGCTCTTCCTCGAGCTTGGTGCACCACGACGTCAGGGATGCCTACGCCACGCAGCGCATTAGTGCATCGCCCATAGCACTAACAGACGCTAAATAGTTGACAGACAAGGGCAGCTTCCGACGTGCGCAGCCTGGCAACGAGCTCGTCACGGCTCAGGGATGCGAGCGCTGCGTCTGATGTTCGGTCGTTCATGGTGGCGTTCGAGTAGCTCAAATTTGGCTAAAAACACCTATTTTACCCGAACGTCGCCTGCGTTGACCAGTCCCAAGCACACTTGTCCCACAACAAGTCTGTACGAGAAGAGTGGACGCTATCTTGTTTATGATGAGTGCGATGCGCAGGGCATCATTGCCGTCGCTCTTCGTTTCTCACCGACGGTGGAGGCAATGTTGGGTGTGTTTAGTGCACGTAAAGCGGCAAATGCCGAAAATAGATGGTAATTATGGCATCATTGTTCCACTGGGTGTGTGGAAGAACGACGAGGCAGCATGGCAACGATCCAGGCGACCGCCATCGAGGCGATGGACGAAGCGGACGTGTACGAGCTCATGTACCACATGAAGCACTTCTGCGAGACCAAGCCCGAGGAGGCGGCGCAGATGCTCAACGAGCACATTGAGTTTGCGCGGGCGCTCGCGCAGGCCCAGCTCCGCCTCGGAATGTACGACGCCCAAGCCGCCGAAGCTGCGACGCAGCCCACGGCGCCGACCAGCAGTCAGCGCCCTGTCGAGCTGCAGTTGGACCGCGAGCAGCAAGAGCTCCTTGAACAAGTCCAGAACCTCGCGCCCGAAATCATCCAAGCGCTTCCGTTCGAGCAGCGCAAGCAGATCATGGAGCTTCGCGAGGCCATGGGGCTGCCACCCGTCTAGAAGCGACGTCGAATCCAGTGCCAATACACATATCTATTAGATCGACATGCAGCTACTCCTCGGTCTTCGGATTGCGATCCCTCTACTGCATCCTGCAGCTACGGTGCGTTGATGGCACAAGGCGTGTTCAACCTACAACTGCTGCGACCACATTATCAACGCATGGGTGAAGAGGCTGCATGACCTCGATAGAGAGCCAAATACGAGAGGGCCTGCAACATGTAGATGAGGATTTTGGCCCGGTTCCTTCATGCAAAATGAGGCAATGAGGCAGGTTCATCACATCACGAGCATGCATGCGTCGGTGTCGCCCGGCGATTGTCCACCTCTGCGGATCTAAATGGCTCCTGCTTCGCCCCGAGCCACGAGCGCGGTGTGGCGCCAACGCCATAGACCACAGGTTGTGGCCTCCTACCTGGTGCTTGGACCCCTCGCGCGACGGCTGCTCGGTACGTCGAGCTGCTCGAAGTAGTCATCAACTTGCATCTTCATGAGAACGCGAGGTCGCATGAGTATAGAGTCACTTTAAATTATTACGGTCGACAGAGTAATGATGCAAGACGGTGGTGCGTGCGAGGGTAGGAAGCGACTACTCGACTTGGCGGTCGCAGCCCGTGACGTGGCGCGCGACGCTCGTGCGATGCGAGTGTAGTGCGAGGCTCAAGACGGAGCTCGAGAGGCCAAGACTGCACATGGTAGCATCGCTCACGCGGAGGCGCAGCGCGAGGATGGTCGCAATCGGAAGCTCAAGGAGGTGCTTGAGCGTCGTGGACGCGGACCCACGCGCTAGCTTGTGGTCCAGCACGATCCCGAGAAGGATCGAGAGCAGCCACATCGTGTGGCTGTACCGCGAGAGGTGCAGCGTCATGGGGACGCCCTCGATCGCTGTCGGCTGCGGAAAGAAGATGGAGAGGTTCTCAAAGAGGAACATGAAGAAGAACGTGAGCACGCGCGCCTGTCGTAGCCGGCGCACCGTGCTATCGCGGTCGCGCAGCGTCGGAAACAAGACGTACATGTCCAAGAACCGGAAGAGGCGGTTGGCCTTGCGCGCCGACGCGGTCAACGACTCGATCGTGCGCAGCCAGCGCAGGCCACGGGGCTCGACCGTCACGTCTGCATCCTTGGAGTAGACCGAGATGCGCACCGACTTGGCCATGTACTGGAGGAAGCGGTAGACCTTGGTCCGGCCCTCTACACCAGCACCAGTGGCTCGCAGCTCGGCGCGCCCGTGGCCTACCTGTCGTCGAGAGCAGGGTCACGACGGCCGCGACGACGCTAGGCGACTCCATCACCTGTTCGTTCCAAAACAAAGAACCGGTTGTCGAGTGTATCCGGACAATCTTATCCGTAATTCCTGCCACCCAGCAAAGCAGCTCATCCAGGGGTACATAATAGCCCTGAGCTCATCGTTGCAAGTTGCATTGCGTTGAAAGTTGCAACACAATGAAGCTGCCACCTACCTTTTCGTTTGTCGTCTGGACAAAGCTTCCAACGACGGACGAGGATCAGACAGCATGGCGGCGTCTGACGCAGCCTTGACATAGCAAAGCGATGTCGAAGCACTTGAGAGCTGAATCGTTCGACACAACGCCACATGCACGCACGGCGTCCTCCAAGCGGTTGACATGTTGAAGGTCTGTCCTCATTGATATCATTCGTTTCCGCTGCCGAGCGACCTCAAAAAGCAGTCGACAGACAGGAATACCGCATCCTCACGCTTCGTCTGTGAGCAGTTGGAGTATGTCCAGCCGCTCGACTCGATCGCCCCCTCGACGGCGTCAAAATTTCATCCTGCTTCCAATGTCTGGCACAGTTAGATCACCTTACCATTTATACTGGAAAGATGCAATGCGGGGCGTCATCATCAACGTCTCGTTCCCAGATATGCTGATCATCCACGATACTATCAAAGACACGCTCGAAGAACGCGACTGCCCATGTCCACGCTACTGTATAGAAAGGCATGATAACGTACGTACACGTCGGGCGAATGCGATGCCTTCGAGCTGTCGTCGCGCCATGGCATAACCTGCTTTCAACAACATCTCTTGCAGGAGCGACACTGCACTTGCTCTTGTTGGTCCACACACAACAATCTTGGAGTGCATCGACCGTGGATGGTCCTAGCAGATGCTCTCAAACGACGACGACGAGCTCGTGACGACCGAGAGAGTTCCAGCACTTGTCGAGTACAAGGCGCGCCGGAGCCTACAGCGCCACATGCGACCACGCAACGCCTGCTAACGTGCTCTGGTACGTCATCGGGCTCGTCGGTACTACTGTACCGGGCCGTGGAGGACATTACACACGACGAAAGGCCTGTCCAACGCCGGGATGCGTGTCAACCCATATTGCCTTATATGAGTACCGTCCATCGGTGTCGTTGTGGACATGCACGTGGTTTTTGAAGGCGCGCGAGCTGCACAATACGTTTCAAGCGAATTCACAAATGTCCTTGGCGTCCTGCAGCAAGCCATTCGAACTTTGGCGCGATGGGGCACACGATAGCGCTCCTGCGCAAGAACCTCTGGCTCAAGAAGCGGCACCCGATCGCGACCTTCTTCGAGATCCTCTGCCCCGCGCTCGTCTTTATCGCGATCGTGATCGTGCGCTCGCGCGAAGACCGGCATAGCTCCATGTACGTGCCCGGGTGGCAGAACAACACGCTCTTTGGCCGCTACGGCAACGACTATGGCAGCAGCAACGACTACTCGGGCGTCCGGTTCCGAGAGCCCGGCGTCTACTCGCTGGTGCAGAACGCACGCTACGCGTCGCGCTCGATCCAAGACTGCGTCAAGAGCCTCGCAATGAACGGGTCGGTCGACGCAACCTGCCAAAAGCCGCTCAGTCTCCGCCCCAAGCTCGCCATCGTGCCCGACAACACGTTCACGCGGGCGTACCTTGGCGCGACGCTCGCGCAATGGTACCCAAAGCTCTCGCTGCCGCTGAAAAACGCCAACGGCAATCTCAACCTGACGATCTCGGGCCTCGCGGATTTTCTCGTTTACTTCGACTCGGAGGCGGCGCTCGAGGCGTATGTGACGGCGCCCAACTATGGCCCCAAGACCGACTACTCGTGGATGTCGTCCAGGTACGACGAAGACAAGAACGCGACGTACAACCCGACGCTCGTCGGTGCGATCGTCTTCAACCAAATGCCGTCCGAGGACGAGATCGGGACAGCAACCGACATTGAGTACACGCTGCGCTTTCCGCGCGCCGACGACAGCTACATGTACGCGACGCAAAAGACGACGGGCGCGCCGCCGACGCTGCGTCGGTACGACCCGCTCACCGTCGACTTGTTCAATAAGGAGACCGCCTTGTACACGACCCAAGGCTTTGCCACGCTGGATACGATGCTCACGCGCGTCCTCAACTGCCGTCCCGTGTGGGACGCAGCGACCAAGCGCACCAACGGCACGTGCAGCGTCGCCGCTTCGACGGCCACGTCATCGGCCGACAGCGCGTTGCGTGCGATCGTCAACGCCGACATCCAACGCATCGTCGGTGGATTGCCGCTGGACTATGACATGACGCGCAACGTGAGCGTCTCGGAGACTCTCTTGCCGCCCGACGTGCTTTCGTCGCTGCTGCGTCCGCTGCGCCAGGCGCCGCAGCCGTTCCTGGGCGGCGTCACCGACACGTTTCCGACCGGTGCCTACGGCTACGACTACTTTCTCGCGCCCGACAACGTGGCGGCCCTTGCCATTTGCCTCGGCACGGTCGTCTTTAGCGTCCTCCTGCTCGGGAATGTCGTCGGCGCCTTTGTACTGGAGAAGGAGACGCGGACGCGCGAGTTCATGCAAGCGCTGGGCCTGCGGCCGTCCTCGCTCGTCCTCTCGTGGTTTCTCTTGTACTCGGTGCTTGCGGCTCTGATCGCGCTGCTCCAGACGCTCCTCGCGGTCTACGGCGACCTCTTCCGCCACTCGAGCGCGCTCTGCGTCTTTGGTCTCTTGTTTGCGTTCGGGTTGACGCTGATTGGCTTTGGCTTTTGCGCGTCGACGCTCTTCACGTCGGCCAAGACGGCCACGTACTCGACGCAGCTCGTCTTTCTCTTGCTCTCGATCGTCGCGTTCGCCTTGTCGGACGAAATGACCGAAGCGACCAAAGTGGCCGCGTGTCTCCTCCCGCCGACCGCGCTCGTCCTCGGCCTCCAAGTGATCATCAAGGCCGAGCACTACACGCGCGGCATCACGCTCGCAAACGCCGGTGCGCTCCAAGCCAACCGCGTCCGCTTCTCGACAACCGTCGGCATGCTCTTTCTCGATGCGATCTGGCTCACGCTGCTCGGGCTGTACCTCGATGGCGTCACGAACGGCCAGTCGTGGTTCTTTCCGCTGCAGCCGTCGTACTGGCGCGCGCCGACAATAACTCTAGGCATGGCGTCGGCCGAGCCCAATCAAGAGAGCGTTGACATCGAGGCGCCGGAGCACCACTTGGCGCAGCAAGAGAAGGACGGCCGCGCGCTCGTCGTCTCGCGTTTGCACAAGACGTTTGGCCCGCACGTCGCCGTCGACAACTTGAGCTTGACGTTCTACGAAGGCCAGATCACGTGTCTCCTCGGGCACAACGGGGCCGGCAAGACGACGGCGATTTCGATGCTCACGGGCATGCTGCGCCCGACGGCCGGCGACGCGACGGTCCACGGTCTCGCGCTCTCCAAGGACCTCCGGACGATGCAGCGCTCGATGGGTGTGTGTCCCCAGCACAACATTTTGTACGAGGACCTCACCGTGTCGGAGCACCTCCGCTTCTACGCAGCCATCAAAGGCGTCGCAGACGTTGCGGCCGCGGTCACGGCGACGCTGTCGGAAGTCGACCTCGTCGACAAGGCCAACGACAAGGTCAAGGCGCTCTCGGGCGGCATGAAGCGCAAGCTCTCGGTGGGCATCGCGCTCCTCGGCAACAGCAGCGTCGTCTTCCTCGACGAGCCCACGTCGGGCATGGACCCGTACTCGCGCCGCAGTGTTTGGTAGGCTTTCCATCCTATGCGGGGTAGGGTTATCAACTGCCACGGCTGTAGGGAGCTGCTCTTGCGCAACCGGTCCAAGCGCATTATGATTCTGACCACGCACTACATGGAAGAAGCCGACGTGCTCGGCGACCGCATCGCTATCATGGCCAACGGTGCGCTCCAGTGCGTCGGGTCGGCCCTCTTTCTGAAAAACCGGTTTGGCGCCGGCTACACGCTGACACTGGTCAAGGTGGACGCGAGCAGTGCCATGGACGCCGTGTCGAGCCTCGTTCTGACACACGTGCCGTCGGCCATCCTGACGTCCAACGTCGCGTCCGAAGTGTCGTTCCAGCTGCCCACGCACGCCACGTCGGCGTTCCCGGATCTCTTTGCCGCGCTCGACGACGACCTCCCCGCGTACGGCCTCTCGTCGTATGGGATTTCCGTCACGACGCTCGAAGATGTCTTTATCAAGGTCACGAGCCGCGCCACGGTGCCATCGGCGCCAACCACCGCGTCGGTCGCTGTGCCGATTGCGCCACCGGTGCTTGTGGCCCACCGGACGTTTCTCGGGCAGACGCTCGCGCTGCTCGGCAAGCGCTTCCATGTCGCCAAGCGGGACAAGCGCGCGTTCTTCAACACGACACTGCTGCCGGTTTTGCTCATCGCGATTGGCTTTGGCGTCATGAAGTACATGTACGAGCGTGACTACGTGCCAATCGAGCCGCGCCTCGTCTTGGATGCGTCCCAGTACCCCGACAACGTTGCGAGCCCGACGCCGTTTGCGTGCCTGACGACGTCGCCTGCCTGCGCCGCCTTGTTTTCCAGTGCCACGTTTACCGGCTCGACGCCGCAAGAGGTGCCGTACATGGGTGCGACGGCGTATACAACGCCGACCGCCAACGTCTTTGGCTACACGTACGGTGCCCCGACCGCACCGCCCGAGTGTCGCTACGACACCATGTACCGCGGTACCGACGCACCGCCGTGTCTCTCAGCCCCCGCGAATCTCTCGGGCACGCAAGGCTTCGAGCTCCGTTTCGGCGAGACGTTGTACAACCGCAGTGCGAGCTCGGCGCGCACGCAAATGGGCGGGTACCTTATGCACGTGTCGCCGGACGAGAATGTGTGGAGCTACGTGCTCTTTGCGAACGCGTCGTCGTCGCACGCGGCGCCCGTCTACAAGCGGCTCTTGCACCAGGCACTGTACCGAACGCTTGGCGGGTCGTCGTCCTTGCAGCTTATGGTTGCGTCGCACCCGCTGCCGACCACGTTTCAGGACGAGGCTGCGCGAGTTGCGCGCCGCCAGAACTTTGGCGACACGATGGGGTACCTCGGGCTGGTCTGCTTTATCTTTGCCCTCTCGTTCTTCCCCGCGGGCATCATGACCTTTCTCGTGAAAGAGAAGCAGCTCACGGCCAAGCAGCAGCAACTGGCGTCCGGCGTCTACCTCTCGGCGTTCTGGGTCGCCAACTTGATCTGGGACGTGCTGAGCTTCTTGCCCGTGATCGGCATTCTTCTGGGCCTCATCCTCGGCTTCCGCATTCGCCCGTACACGTCCGAGGCCGCGCACGTCGTCAACGCGTTTAGCGCTGTCTCGGTGCTCTTCCTCCTCTCGGGCGTGAGCTTGATCTTGCTCACGTACGTCGGGTCCTTCTTTCTCAAGGAGCCCACGTCGGCGCAGTCGATCACGGTCATTGTCAACTGGTGCATCGGCTTTGGCTTCCTCGTCATCGAAGTGCTCATCAAGTCCATCTCGTACGAGAAATCGGGCGCCGCCGTCTGGCGCATCTCGCCGCTCTACGCTCTTGGCGACGGGCTCATGAACATCACAGAGTCCCGCCCGCGCTGGAGTCCCAATGCCTCGGAGATGGACGTCAAGATCGACGCGCTCTCGCCGGCCGGTGTCCTCATGGACGTCTACTACCTGATCGCGATGGCTTTTGTGTTTGCGCTCGTCGTTGCCGTCCTCGAGTACCGCGTCACGTTCCGCATTCCCAAGCCCAAGAAGGCCGATGCGCCAGGCGACCGGTCGCGTGCGCCGCTCGACGTCGACGTCGCCGCCGAAGCATCGCGGGTCGCGGCCTTGGCGCCGGCGGACTCGGCCGTCACGATGACAGGTCTCCGCAAGGTCTTCACCCAAGGGCTCCTCGGGCGCCCGACCACAGCCGTCGACAACTTGTCCATTGCTCTCCCTGCGGGCGAATGCTTTGGGTTTCTCGGGGTGCGTCATTTCGACCTCCATCATGTAGTGGCTCATTCTTGGTGTAGGTCAACGGCGCGGGCAAGTCGACGACGCTCAAGATGCTCTTGGGCGAAGTGCTCCCGACCGACGGCGCCGCCTACCTCGGCGGCTTGCACGTGATCAAGGACCAAAACAAGGCGCGGCAGCTCGTCGGGTATATATTCTGACTCGACCGATATTCATCGCTCACGGTTCGGTGTTTAGGTACTGCCCGCAGTTTGACGCGCTCTTCGATTTGCTCTCAGTGCGCGAGCACTTGGTGTTGTACGCGTCGCTCCGCGGGCTCCAAGGCGGAGTCGGGCAGAGAGCGGTGACGGCCTTGATGGAGAAGCTGCACCTTGGCGCGTTCGAGCACGTGCTGGCGAGTAACCTAAGCGGCGGCAACAAGCGCAAGCTCTCGGTCGCGATTGCGATGATTGGGTCGCCGCCCATCATCGTCCTCGACGAGCCGTCCACGGGCATGGACCCGGTCTCGCGCCGCTTCATGTGGGAGCTCATCTCGGACCTTTCGACCAATATGCGCGAGTCGACCGTCCTTCTCACGACCCACTCGATGGAGGAGTGCGAAGCGTTGTGTTCGCGCGTCGGTATTATGGCCGCCGGTGTCCTCCGCTGCCTCGGCAGCATCCAGTATCTCAAGTCGCGCTTTGGGCACGGCCTCGTGCTCGACGTCAAGCAGGCACTGCCGACCGACGCCGAAGTCTCCGACTTGATGACGACGCACGCGATGCCAATGACGCTGACGATGGATGCGATGATCATGTGGTGCACGGAGCTGGGTCGGCCCGACCGCGCCGACGCGCTCTCGCCAGAGCACCCGACGGGCTTTTTCCTCGAGCAGCTCGCGACGACCGACGGCCAAGTCGACGCGCCGTCGTTCTGCACGTGGTGGCTCTGCGAAGACCAGTTTGATGCGCTCGTGAGTCACGTGGCAACGACAACCGAGAGCGACGCGGACGTTGTGGTCCGCGAAGGCACGTTTGCGCGGCTCAAGCTGCCGACGTCGCTTGGCGTTGCGTTCGGGCTCGTCGAAGGCGCCAAGGACGCGCTGCGTATCGTCGAGTACTCGGTGTCGCAGACATCGCTCGAGGCGATCTTCAACTCGCTTGCGAGTCTCCAGCCGACGGCGGCGACGACGGCGCGCACCAGCCCGTCGTACGCACTTCTCCAGACCCCAAAGGCGTAGTCGTACAGTACGAGGAGCTCCGATTGCATACAAGGACGTACTAATACATGTTGGCTTCTGATCACCGTGCACAGGATGGGCGTGATGAGGTCTTTGAATGGCCACCACGGAAGGGCGACAAGCACGAGGCAGCGACATGTGCTGTGCAATGGGTGGTGACCGCGGGTGGCTGTCATCCGTGCGGGCTTGTGGGGCTTGGTACACGTGATAGTTTGATGCCATCGATGGGCGAGGCATGTGGTACGAGGTAGAGAGGTTTGAAGAGAGGTATTCACGGGCGTATTACGACGGGTGTCTTGCAGAGACCTATAGAAAGTAGTCGGGCGTCCGGCGGCTCACATGGGGCTCGCCACGTCGCGGCGCCGGGTCGAATTGCAAGCTACGATGGATGGTTTTGCATCCGCATGAGGAAATCAGCGGTACGTACAAGGTGTATTTCATCTGCTCGTCAATCTCCATGATCGCGGCTTCGTTGCCGCAGCGGTAGCAGTAGTTGGGCGCGCTAAAGATCGTGACGACGTTCATCTTGTGCGACCAGTTGTAGCCCTAGCCCGTGCGCATGAGGAAGAGGGCGAGAGAGGAGGCGAGGATGCACCTCCATGACGAGCTGATGGGCACGCGACACAAGCGTAAGGCCGTTGGCGTGGTTGAACTGATCTGAAATGTCTTGGCCAAAGGTGTAGCCCGCGCCACGCGGCGAGATGCCCCAGCCCGACCGGTCGTCGGGGTCCGACCAGAGCAGGTCGCACATGGGGCCCTCGTGTGGCACTTCCTGGACACGGTCCAACGCACGAATGTGATCGAGCGTGTCGATCGATGGCGACAAGCCACCGTGCAAGCAAAAGATCTGCATGTACCATGGCTGTTAGTCGTGGTATGGCGTATGGAGGATTCATGCACCTGGTTCTCGACGACGGCCGTGAGTGGGAGGTAGTCGAAGACGTCGGTGAACTGCCGCCACACGTTGGGCGTGCCATACTTGCGGAGACACTCGTCGTAAAAGCCGTAGACTTGTGTGATCTGGCGCGACTCGTGGTTGCCGCGCAAGATGAAGATGCGGTCCTTGTAGCGCACCTTGAGCGCGACGAGGAGCGTGACGGTCTCGACCGAGTAGTAGCCGCGGTCCACGTAGTCGCCCATGAAGAGGTAGTTGGTGTCCGGCGCGTGGCCGCCAATGCGGAAGAGCTCCATGAGGTCGTGGAACTGGCCATGCACATCGCCGCAGACCGTCACGGGGCAGCGCACGGGCTGCACATTGGACTCATTGCGCAGGACTTCGCGCGCCCGCGCACAGAGGCGCATGACCTCGGGCTCCGTCAGCGGCTGGCACGTGAGAAGCTTCTCGCACCACGCGTCCAGCGTCCCGACGTCCACGTCCCCGACGTTCATCGTCGCTCCGCCACCGCTCATGCTCGGTCCCAATTGGCTTTTGAGACCCGCGCAAGTTCGGATTGCACCACCGGACTTAAAACGTCGATCAAGTACCTTGCATTTTGTATGCGAGAAATGGAATCGCTGCACATCTCGATAAAGTACGAGAGTCGAAAGGGACCGGCTAATCCCACGCCATTTTGCACCCCCGAGAGCCTGCGAGATATACCGACCATGCATCGGCTTGTCGTTGACGACCTCGAGGTTTTCTGCGTTCGTGGGGATTATAGCAGGATGTCCCAGTCTACGAAAACGCCGAAAAGGACAATTCTGTACATCATTTTTCGTACCAATGACGCTTCAAGATCGATCGAACACAAATAGTCATGCGATCTCAAGTTAGACCAGCTGGCCTGTCGAAGTCTGCGTCATGGTGGACCGATAACCTCATGTACTAGCTTGCGAGAGATGGTAATAATCGATGAGTCAATTTGCTCAGTAGAGCCTTGCAGAAGAGCTTCGAGTTCGAGGAAAGGGGTCACATTCAAATTCGGAAGCAAGGTCCCGCCGCCCGCTCGATGTCCTCTGCCGAGATCCCTCAACTCGACACTAATACCGGCGGTTGCTGGCGCCAACCTCTATTTTTCCTCAAACAGACCGGTCTACTGATGGGCAGCAACCGTGTTGGTGGCCGCCATGCCAGTCGTGGTGGGCGAGGCGGGTTAGCGTTTTACTTGAGACCACCGGTACAAATTCGTAGCTTGTTTGTTCTGCGCCTGGATCTTGAAACTTGTGTGCTTCTGCTACCTAGTAGCTATGACCTGCGTGGTTCGACAGCATTGGATTACAAGGCCCACCTCGACGTCAACGAAAAACCTACCCGGTCAATCAATACCAGAGACCAAGCGTCGATGCATCCGGTGGGCATGCCATCCGCACCAAGCGTCGATGCATCCGGTGGGCGTGCCATTCGCAATTGACTGTGACCCTCTTGTCATGCATATGATCAAGGAGCTCGCAGCAGGACTGTTGTGTTGTTAAACGCATCGTCAGATCGATCAAACTCTCTTGTCATGCCGCCTGAGCGCGGCGGACCATGCTCCAGATCCGCCACTCGGTTTTTATAGTGGACAGGAGGACGGCGCTAGCTTCGTGGAATTTAAACGTCCCCTCGCAGCGCTGCGATTAAGAAATGAAGCTGAATCCATCAGCGTCAAGCTTTGAATTTGCGTACGGCGCGCGCGTCATGCTACTCGGTCCTGTCCATGATCGTCCAGGATGTCGTACGGCTTGTGGCCAAGAGGTGACACGGTTGAGACGCTCAGTCTGTTGCACAGACAGGTCCATTGGAGGAGGCAGGACCACTGTTGAGTTGCCCCTCACGTTGCATTGGACATGACCCTCGGGACCCACCATGGCACGGGAAGGTCTTTGACGATGAAAAAGCGTTCACCAGAGACGCTAATCGAAAGTCAGTGAACTCCAGCCCCGATGCTAATCGAAAGTCGGTGAATGGAGCTCGAGCCCCGATGGGAGATCTTCTGCCATTCGTACATGTGAACAGAGACAGTTTTAGGGGGCAATTAAGCAGCCCTTCCTGGACAGCCGTGGCATACACCGCGGACCATCTCTCGCATGTATCAAGAGCGTGTCCCAGGCCGCTGCCGGCGATACATCTTGAGCGCTGGGAATCGAAAAGGTTGGTGACTGGAATTTAAAAAACTGCAACAGCCGTTTTCGATGGCAGCATTACTTTGTGGGCACCCTTGACGACGACGACGGCGCATCGATCCGAATGATGAGTCATGCGCGCATCGACCGTTCCAGAAGGCCGCGTCTTTCTTCCAGGGACACGACGACAACGTCGTGCGAATCAAGAATTACGTAGCATAAACTTTGGTTACTTGTGTGTTCAACTACCCTCTGACTAACGCCACACTCGTTGCCAATACTGAGCACTGCTCGTGCTACCGATCCAGCGTAGTGCTATGCTGTGCAGTCGACGACCGTGAAGCTTGACGGCGATCCTGAAGCACACGATTCCAAGCAACTGGGCTGGAACGCGTCTGGCTCAAGACGCTTGGATTCCCTTTTCTCGATGACGCTGCGCGCCATGGGAATGGCGCATCGTAGCGTGCACCATGTTACCAAGCTTGTGCCATCTGGTGAGCCAACAACTAAGCCAACGCCGACCGGCCCCCATCTGCTGGACCATGCCACAGCCTTCATGTCCGCGAATAAAAAGGAGGGAGTTATGGCCGTGACTCGTATTGACACAAGTGTTTCGAGTGAACATGGGTCTTGCTGCGTTTGACAGAAGGGTGCGGCGGGAGATACCGTGTACAAAGGCAGGCGCCCGCCATGGCGCGTGATGAGTTGCTGCGAAACATGTGGGCTTGGTGGCATGGGTACGCTGTAGATAACGCATCATATGATGGAAATGGAGGCAGCACGGCATGCGACGGTCATGCATCTGCGGCGCCAACGGCTGCGCGTCATGGCTCCTCGACGCCAGTCTTGTGCGCGTATAGCTACACTAGAGCTTGGCGCAAACTTGAATTTGGTCCATTGCACGTGCCAAGTGGGTTCTGAACCAGCAAATTTGACCTCCATTCCGCAGGAGTGTTGCTCCCTACGATCCCCTTGCGGCGCGCCAGCCTGTCTACAGGTGCCATCTGATCAGAAAATCCATTGCCCTGCGGCTTCAAGGTACAGCATGCGCAAGCTGTTATGCACTATCGCGGGTATCGACGACGTCACGGGCTGCATCCACCGAGGCGCGGGCTCGCACCCAATCCAAGCGACGAGCTGTCTTCTCCCCTTGTACACACTTGAAGCAGCAGCGAGCTCTGTTGGTTGCTCCCGTCGTGCCACCGCCGCGAGGTCGAGCGACGACGAGTGACGCATGGAGTGACTTCGTCGCTTCAGGCCCAGGACGGTTGCTACTCTTGAGTGCGACGTCGTGGTGAGTTCCTTGACGTACCACGGCTTATAGGCCCCCCCGCGCCATCTGGTGCGCTATGGAGCCAAAAACCAAGTCATTGGTGCTTTGGAGATCTACGATACGGACGCCGTCGCAGCTGGTTTTCTCTAATCACGAAGTCACAGCCGGTGGGCACCAATGAACTGCTTGTCTTGTGCATATACTGGCTGCGTCACGCCGTTTACTATGGCCTACGTACACGCATCGAAACTCAGATGGCGCGCTACTTTTTCCATTGAGAGCTCACTTTTGAATTTGCGCCTTGACCACCAGAATGACACGCAACGAGACCCAATGCATCTTTGAGGGCTGCGATGTCCCGAGCCTCCCGCAATCGACCAAGTGCTTCTTCCACAAGAACCGCAACGTCTGCTCCTTTGCGGGCTGCCGCAACCAGGTGTACGCGCGCATGCTCTGCGTCGGCCACGGCGGCCGCAAGCCTTGCTCGTCGCCCGGCTGCTCGTCCAGCGCGCGCGTTGGTTCGTTCTGCTGCCGCCACGGCCCCAAGCCCAACCGCAAGCTCTGCACGTCGCCAGGGTGCCCCAACGTGCGCCACACGGGCGGCAAGTGCATTCGCCACGGTGGCGGCCGCCGCTGCCGCATGCAAGGCTGCGAGACCCACGCGCGGACCGGTGGCTACTGCTGGCGCCACCGCGTGCAGTCGTCGTCGTCGCAGGACGACACGGACGAAACGAGCAGCGTCGTGAGCAGCAGCTCGACGGCCGTCGAGCTCGACCCGCTCGCGCTGCTGTTAGCCGACGACTATGAGAACGAAATCCTCGACGACGCCGCGCTTGACTCGTACTTCGACTTGCTCTTGCAGTCGGACAGCGTTGGCATTGCGGTCCAGCTCTAAAGCGATCGCATTGGCCTTGGATAGTAGAAACGATAGAAACCCTTAATTAAACTCAACAAAGTGGCGTGCAACAAGACATCGGAAGTCTCTTGGGAGGAAAGGAGTGGCTCTGCACCGGCCTGCTGCACGTGGACGGTCCAGGTAGTATGCTGCGTGAATGGCTGTAGATCCCAAGTGCCTCGGAGATCTGTTGCGTCAAGACATCCATCCAGGTGCAGCCATGGGAGAAGAGAATCTCTGCCGACGCCACAGAAGCAATCTTGGATCCTGCGACACGTGAGGCTGCGTCATCGCTATCGACACTGAGGCGGGTACGGATCCGACTCGGTACCACGGTGCGTGATGGTCCCAGAAGCACCAGATTCGCGCAACGCAGGAGCTCTGCTCGACCATCCTCACGAACCACCGCGTCGTGGCGTGTGATGCTAGCGGGACCGCGCGCGTCCTTGCTTTTCCTGGCGTATTTGGCTGAAATGCGTGCCATGGGGTGCATGTAGAATGAGCAAATGAGAGACGACGTCGCAACGCTTGAGGATCCCGACGCTGGCGAGATGGCGATGACGCGTACTAGTACATTGCATTGCGCGCAAGCCAGAGCGACACAGAGTCGTGCCACGTGAGCACGCTACCGAGTGTCGTCGTCGGAGAATATCGACTGAGAAGAGAGCGGTAGCCGTGCGACTCGCGCAGTCGATTGCCAGTGGCAAAGATACCAATGTCTCTGTTCGATAGCGCAAACCACAAGATTGCCGTTGAGCTCCTCGCTGAAGCACCGGCCAGCTCCTCGCTGAAGCACCAGCCAAGCCTCACGAGCGCATTAGGAAGTCCACCATATCTTTATAGTTGCATGTAATATAACTCAGTTCAACAACAACAAGCTTGCCGTTGATATTTCAACCTATTGGCACGATCGTGCATTGCAGGCCTCTGCAGAGATCATGTCGTCATGCTGCTACACCCAAGTTGCAACACGGATGTGCTGCAGCGACGACCATGTGATCCGCTGGTATTGAACCCGAGGCGCTCGGAGATCGCTGCGAAGCTGCCACCGTGATCCTACTACCGCCGTCGCGAGATCTTCACGCTCAGCATCATCACAGTACAGGGATCGAGCATGTACCCCACTTCTTCGCATCAAAGATTCGACGCCCTACAAGCCCAAGTAACCGCCTGCTCGCAACTACACCCACAGCACCAAGATCGCACGGTCGAAAGTCGGTCGCTGGACGAGTGCTGCCCGTGGAGACGGAGAGGATGAGGACACTGGTTTTTCTACTAACGTTACGATGGCAAGCATGAATCCTGCAGATAAATAGTTCGAACGGGCGCTCATTCACGCCGCGTGTTCATGCGACGAGCGCGGTCTCTGGCGCGACCTTCTTGTGCCGGCGCACGCGAGTGAGCGCAACGCAGACGCGCTTGGCGCGGAGGCTAAAAAACATGGCTTCTTCGCAGCCGTCGCAGCGCACGCAGTCGTCTTCGTCGATCGGGCAGAGCACGTCGTGAGTCTCGTGCCGATCAAGCTTCCAAAAGCCAATGTCCTCGGGACAGAACGGCACCTTGCGCCCGCCGACGACCGCGCTGTGCTTCTGCTTCTTCTGGCGGTCGATCCACTTGTGCGTGATCGGGATGCACGCGTCGGGCGATGACGTCATCGACGAGAGCACTTGGCGGCAATGGCACGGCGGCTCGACGCGCTTCTTGGTAAACCACTGCATGATGGATCTTGTCGTCGTCGTCGTCGAGGCAATTGGCAACTGACATGTGCCAAGCTCGTGTCAGGTTCGACAATGATGGTCGCTTTGTGACACGCCTGTAAATCGATCCAATCCGATGCTGGTTTGCAATTTGGCGGCGTCGGATTGGTCAATTGGGGCCAGGTGGCACGGCCACGCCGATCCGCGCGCGGACTGAAGCGCAGCTCGTCGTGTCCTTGCAGCATAGCCCCGTCGAATAGCTCGTCGTCTGCCGCAGGCAATATCCACGCTGCGACCAGCGAGCTTCAACGAAGCCGCGAACCGAAGCGGACGCATGACTGTCCTGTCCACAAGGCCCGAGACGTAGGACGGCGCAGGAATGGCATGGAGCGCATCGAAGGCGACAGCCCACAACGCGACGATGATGGTCGCTTCCAGTAGAATTGCAGGGCATCCGAATGGGTCATCGCGAAGGCTGCGCTCCCTCGACCATCGAGCTGCGTCCGGGGCGTCGTCATCTCGTTTCGCAATAGACGACACCGTCGACGCCACCGTGCGACACAACTGTCCAACGGTCTAGCGTCCATACGTGTTGAAAAGACAATGCGTCAACGCAGCAGCCATTCACATTTCTTTCCTAGCGATACTGTTACCAGAGGCAGTCGAGGAGGCAAGCGCGCGCAAGCACGTGATCGCGAAGGCTCGATGACGCGTCTATCGCAAGCTCTGCGCCCACGTTCTCGTCGAGCAGCAGCGTTTTGGCGATGGCCATCGCAACGCGGACGGTATCTTCGACGGGATCGATGGGCAAATCCGAACGCTCGAGCTGCCAAGCGAGCTCGAACGCCTCGAGCGCCGCATGCACCGCGGCCGAGTCGACCGCTGAGCGTGCCACGTACGCATGGCGGACGTGGCGCCACCAGATGCGCCAGCGCGGAAGGTAGTACGTCGATATGAGACCGCCCCAGTCCTTGCCGGCGTAATCCGAGAGCGCGTTGCCGTTGGCGTCGCCCCATCGCGTCACTTGGTTTTTGGCTTCGTACTCGAAGTAATTAGCCATCTCGTCGTCCGCATCGCTGAGCGCCCGTGCGTCGGCTAGCCACGGACCGAGCATGAAGTGGCGATTCGTGTTGAGGATGCGCTCGAGCATCTCCATCGAGTCTTGCATGCGGCGCATCACGGCATTGAGCTACGCACTCGGCAGAAGCGACAAGGTGCAAAGGACTACCTCTTCAATTGGCGCGACCTGCGCGTGAAACAGCGCCTCGAGCGCCGCCAGGTCGGCCGCCAAGCCGTCGCTGAGCACTTGTCGCGTCACGTCGACGAGGTCCCGCGTGAAGCTCAGGTGCGACGCCATCGCTGGCGCAGCCGCCAAGAGACGCCGCCACGCAAACAAAACGTCGTCCGCGTCGTGGGTCAGCGCCGTGGGCATGAACCGGGTCTGGAGAAGCCCCCAGCGTGGCCGGAGACTCACAATGCACTTGGTGACGCCGCCAAAGCCTTTGGAAACACTATAGACGGTCGCCGCGAGCCGCTGCCACGCGTCGAGCGCATCGTTTGTTGGGGCGTGGTACCGCGCTCGGATGAAGCCATCGACGTACGTCGGAACGTCGATCGCGGCGGTTTGCCACGGCATTTGAAGCGCGAGGTCGTACACGATGTAGTTTTGGAAGATACCCTCCATCGTCAGCCCGAGGCCCAGCAGCGTGCCGGCGCTCATCGCCCGCGCTGCAACAAGGTCGGACGCGACCGTCGGGAGGTCGCCGCGCATCCCGAGGCTGCCGCCAAAGTTGTGCAGGACGCAGTAGATCCAATACTTGCCGAAGTAGTTGTCGGTCGCTTGCCACATGGGCTTGACCTCGCTACATATGCCATCATCTCCGAATTGATGCACACAACGAGAGAACCAAACCTGTACAAATCGAGCACGATGAGACCGTCCTGTGGCAGGTGCGAGATGTAGTCGCGGACGCGCGCCGTGGTCCAGAAACGCGAAAACGAAAAAGCCAGCCTTGCATGAGCCACACGGCAGACGGGTGCACGGCGCGCATGCTGCGTAGGACTGCCGACGACGACGCAGCGAGGTAGGCGGGTGCGCTCGAGGTCGGGTCCATCTCGTTGTACGTGTCGGTTTGATAGAGCACCGCAGAGTAGTTGAGGAGGGCGGCTTGGTGCCGCACGAACGCCGAGCCGATCTCGAGAAAGAGCGGGTCCGTGGGGTCGAGCATCATGACCGATGTGAACGGCGGGGAAAACCCAACCCAAGGCGGCGATTGCACAAACTTGGCGTTCGGGTATAAGGATACCATCTCGGCAGGGACGTGTCCTAGCATCCTCTTGATACATTCTTGATACGACGAAGCAAGGACGCACCGCCAAAGGCAGGCAGGGCCGGCGTCATGCCGAACGCGCGCATGCGAGCAAGGATCTTTGTCTGGAGCTCAAACTGCTGCTCAATGAACGACGATGGCAGCGGCCCGCGCACCCAGCTGCCTTGGATGTTGCCCATGCGGCCCCACGCGAGGAAGCTCGCGCCCGCAAAGAAGGCGTCGAGGCCCGACGCGCTGACGTTGAACGCGCGAAAGGTCGTCGCCCACACCTTTTCTTGGCCCGTGAATGCCAATGGGACGTTGATACCTAGATAAAAACACTATACGTAAGCATTGTAGTATGGCGCAGTACCGTTGAGCACCATCCAGTCGATGTGGCGCTCCCACTTGGCCCACGACCAGCTCCACTGCGAGTAGCTGAACGTGCACACGTTCTCATAGTACGTGTATGCGGCTTGCCGCCCAAGGCGCAGTGGCGTTGTCAGCGCCGGCAGCGTCGGCGGAAGCACGAGCGGGTCGTCTTCCCAATTCGTTTGCGTCTGGGCCGCGGCCTTGAGGTACGCGTGCAAGCCATAGCCCATGGCCGTCGCACTGGATGCGCGCAGGTGCACTCGACCTGGTGTCGCATCGACGTGCGCTATGTCGAGCCCCGACGACGCGTCGACCGGCAGCGCCTCGAGCACAAACTACACGAGCATGTAGGGCCCAGCGAGGGCGCGAGATAGGCCGACCTGGTCGACGTACGTTTGGCCGAGCCGCCGGGCGATAAGGCCCTTCATTGCATCAACGATATCGTGCTCTGGTCGCGGCAAGAGCGCGGCGACAAGCGCTGCATGCAGCACGACGACGATGGCCCTGCGCATGCTAGAAGCAGCTCGCCAAGCCAAGTTGGGTGCGTTTAGCGTTCGGCTTCGAAACCTCTCACATGTGATATTGCACGTTGGGTGATATTAAGTTTGAGAAAAAACCGCTTTAAAGCCGAATTAGCTACGAGCCACAGGGTCCATGAGCTCCGAGGTCGCCGCCCAGCCGCTCTCCAAGAATGCGCGCCGGCGCATGAAGAAGAAGGAGAAGAAGCAAGATGACGGTCTGCGTCAAGAGGCCGAGCGCCAGCTAGAGCTCCTGAAGGAGGCCACGGACGAGCCGGCGCCGGCGCCGGAGGTGACGGTCGAGTATGTGAGCGCCGAGGTCGCGTTGCCGACGTCCGACCGGCGTTTGAAGAGTTCTCGCGCGTCTTTGAAAAGTTTCTCAAGCCGGAAGAGCTCTGCGGCGACAAGAGCGCGGTCGACGAGGTGGCGCCCGAGGCTGAGGACAATGCGGCGAACGAGGTCGAGGCCTTTGACGAGCCAATGCAGCTCGGGCGCAAGGCGCGCAAGAAGGCCAAGCAGATTAGCATCTCGCTGCTCAAGCAGCTCGTGGCGTGCCCGGACGTGGTCGAGGCCCACGACGTGACGTCGTCGGACCCGCAGTTCCTCTGCTACTTGAAGGCGTACCGCAACACGGTGCCCGTGCCCCGCCATTGGTGCCACAAGCGCAAGTACCTCCAGGGCAAGCGCGGTATTGAAAAGGTCCCGTTCATTCTGCCCGACTTCATCGCCAACACGGGTATCTCGGAAGTGCGCGGCGCGCTCCTCGACGACGAGCTGAAGAAGAAGGGGTCGGCCAAGATGCGCGAGCGCATGCAGCCCAAGATGGGCCGCATCGACATTGACTACCAAGTGCTGCACGACGCGTTCTTCCGATACCAGACCAAGCCACCGCTCTCGTCGCTCGGCGATCTCTACTACGAAGGCAAGGAGTTTGAAGTCAAGCTCAAGCGCAAGACGCCGGGGCTTCTCTCGGACGACCTCAAGCGTGCGCTCGGTATGGTCGATGGCGTCCCACCGCCGTGGCTGCTCAACATCCAGCGCTACGGCCCACCGCCGGCGTACCCGCATCTCAAGATCCCGGGTCTCAACGCACCAATCCCGGACGGTGCCAGCTTTGGGTACCATCCTGGTGGCTGGGGCAAGCCGCCCGTCGATGAGCTCGGGAACCCTCTGTACGGCGATGTCTTCAACAAGGCGGCGGCGAAGACATCCGAGCCCGTCGAAGAGGTCCTTCCCGTGAGCAAGGAGCGCTGGGGCCAATTGGACCCGGTCACCGAGGTCGACGACGAAGAAGAAGAAGAAGAGGACGAGCAGCACGAAGAAGACCAAGTCTACGCGGACGCGATCGTGGGCGAGCCCATGGCGGCGGTCCTGGAAGACACGATGGACAGCGGCATCTCGAGCGTTATGTCGGGGGTCTCGACACCCGGCGGCGCCGTCGACCTCCGGAAGCGGGGGACGGAAACGCCCGACGTGACGCCATCGGCCCCGAAAGAGCTCTATACCGTCCTCGCGCAAAAGGAAGTCGCCGTCGGAACGTCGCTGTACGGGTCGGCGCACGGCTACGACGTCGGCGCCAAGCCAGGAGGCACCGAGAGCTCGACGAGCGGGATGCTCACGACCGAGTCGTCCATTGATGGCGACGACTCGCGCAAGCGCGCGCGAAAAGCCGAGAAGGAAAGCCCAAGAACCTCAAAAGTTCAAGTTTTAAACAGAGCGTCCATTTGTATTATCTAGTCCTCGACCTGTTGCTTGACTTGTGCGAGACCAGACGGACGCTCGTGATGCAGTTTGCATGGACACTTGGAGACACCTCCAACGCCATGTTATCAGGCTTCCATTTCAGGTCCTTTGACAGGTTACATCGCTGCGCCATCGTTACTGGCAGAGGAATAGATATAGGAGGTTCTTCCTTTCTCGGTAATGTCGCCCGCTGGTAGTATGAGCAGCACCGAGAAAAAACCATTTTACACTGGGATTGTTAGCTACTTGGCACGCTGTAGTTGCGTACCTTTTTACGCTCTTCGGCCATCTCGGCGCGCTTGGACTGGAGCTCCTTGAGCTTGTGCATGGCCGAGCGCTGGCTCGGTGTCTCCCTAATGCGCAGACATGGACGGTTGGGTCGTGTTCTTGGCAGACAAGTTGTTGTACTTTTGACTGCTAGAGACGACCATGGACGCCGCCCGCGCTTTCGACGGCTCGTCGACTTTCTTTCCTGCGAGCGCCAGCACCTCTTTGGCGTGCTTGAGCTTGAGCCGCGCGTCCGAGAGGGACGAGTTGGCGTCGGGTTTCGGTGCTTGTTGGAAGAGCGTATTGGCCAAACTCGATGGGCGGCGCGTCGGCAGTGGCTGGGGCACGTCGCCGACTTCGTCGGCCGGTGCATCGTCGTCGTCGTCGTCGTCGTCGATCGGGTCGGAGCGTCGGCGCGCCGGCGGTGGCTCGAGCGGCGCGGCGGAGAACGTGAATTCCCCTTTTTCAGCCACTTGCGCAGCTCTTTCTTGAGCGCCTTGTTGTGCAACCGATACTCTTCGAGCGACTGCGTGAGGTCGGCGATCCGCGCTGTCGTGTCCACGGGGCTTTGCAGCTGCTGCTTGCGCAAATCCGCCGTGAGCTGATTGCTGAGCTCCATGAGCTGGTTGCGCTCGTGTCGGAGCACTTGGATGTCCTGGAGTGCTTGCGTGAGCTGCTGCGCGGTTGCGTTCGACTCCTACACCCAGGTTTCGATCACGTGTACACCTTGTCAATATAGGATATAAACCGTCGACGGGCGCGCGGCTTGGAGCATCGCATTCTCCTTTTGGAGGCGTTCGATGAGCTGGTTCTTGGCGTCGAGCGTCTGCTGCGCCGCAAGCAGCTCTTGCTGCACTCGCGAGAGCTGCGCTTGCAGTGTCGCCGAGCCAGAGTGCTCCAACTCATGCACGCGGGCTTGGAGGCGGTCGGCGTCGGCGACGGCTTGTGCAAGCTGGCGCGCCAAGTCGGTCGTCTCCGAGTCGGCTAGGAATCTACATCAAACACCTCTTCGCACCAGGGCGCCATGTGTAGTACGGGAGACAGCTGCGGTTTGCTTGATGACCTCCTCGGTCATGGCGCGAATGACACTCTTGAGCCGCGCGTTCTCGGCTTCGAGCGAGTCGAGAGGCTTAGTCGGTGTCGGCGCGACAACGCTCGGCGGCGGAGACACGGGCGGAAGACTGCCGACGGACGGCGGCGGGTCCGTCCACGACGGCGACAGCGCCGGCTCGGACACGGTCTTCACCGACGACGACGGCAACTTGAACGCTTCGTTCATCTGCAGCGCGGCTTTTTGGGCAAAGAGGTCGCCGCGCAGCCGCACGAGCTCGTTCTCGGCGTGTCGGTACCGGTCTTCCACCGCCTACAAGACACATCGGGTCGTCGACGCGGTCCATCTTGCGAGTACAAACCAGCTTCTCGGCTTGGAGCCGGTCTTTCAGAGCCGCAAGCTCGCGGTACTTGATGTCAAACTTGGCCTGCCATTCCTGCTCCAAGTCTACCATCGAGTGTGGGGCGACCAGAAGCGCGTGTGTGTGCTTGCACCTCGGAGCTTGGATTCGTTGGACGCGTCGTGGCTCGTCGCACGTCGCTGCAGGTCCTCCAGTTGCTCGTGCAGCTGCGATATTTGCTGCTTGGCGTGCAGTTCCTTTCCTTGGCGTCCGTAACGAGCTGGAGCGACTGCCGACTCGCGTCTTTCGACGATTTGAGCTCGACTTGGGCCGTCCAGAGCTCGTTCTTGAGCTCCTTTAGCATCGTTTCGCGCTGCTCTAATGCGTCCTATCCACGCATCGCCCACTGTACGAGGTGAGAGAGAGTGTCTACCTTGTGGTCCGAGACCAACCGCTCCATCTCCCGCTCCCGCTGTAAAAGCTGGTCGTCGGCTTCCCACTATACAGATATCCCATGCGTTCCCAGCAATGACACCATGTACTAGTATAGTATCGCACTTTGGACTGCTTGAGCTCCGTCTGCACCTTCTCTAAAGTCTCTTCCACCGAGCGCAGTTTACCAATGAGCGCCTAGACACAAACAAAGGCTGCTTATACCTCGGCGACGCGCACCTTTTTCAGTGTACCTCGATGCGGGCTTCAAACTTGACGCTGTGCTCCTTCATTTCGTTGTCCTTGCGTTGCGTCACGCGCCGGACTTCGTCCTCGAACTGCGCCTTCTGCTGCAAAAAGCCTTCTCCACGGCATGCAGCGACTAGGCATGAACGTCTCGTACGACGCGCTTCCTCACACAGGTACAAACCTGCAAAAGCTCGGCCATCTTGCCCTCGTACTCGTCAAGAAGGGCTACGACGTTATCTCAGTTGGTTTTGGCAAGGACGAAGAGTGATACCTTGTTTGACTTGCTGGAGGTCGACTTTGTCTGCTTCGAGTTCGGCGATTTTGGCGTCTTTCAAGCCACGCACGTCGCTGAGCTCCCACTGCAGCGCTTTGGCTTGTGTCTCGGATTCGTGCAGTTGCGAGAGGAGGTCGTCGACCTTGCGCCGCAGCTCCGTATTGCGCTCTTTGGTCGTCTCGACCTCGCGCGCTAAGCTCTTGGCCTTGAGCTCGGTCTCGCGAAGCTTGGTGGTGATGTCGTCATTCGCGGCTTTGGCTTCGGTCTCGCGCGCGCGAAGGAGCTCGTCGAACGTCACCGACATCTCTCGCCGAAGGCTCTCCATGTCTTCGTCCTTCTCGCGCAGTTCGCGCTCGTTGCGTCGCTTGTACGCATCAAACTCGTCCTTTTGCTTGCGCATGGCGTCGTCGTACGACCAGCGCGCGGCCTCGACTTGGGCGCGGACGTCCTTAAGCTTTTGCGTGTAGAACGCGTCTTGCTCGGCGTGCTTTTGCTTCTCGGCCTTCATGTCCGAGGCCACATCCGCGAGCTGAATCTGCAGCTCGCCGATTTCGTTCTCGCTACGTCGTGTGGATGCACGACTGCATTGGTCGGATTCGACGTACCGATCGCGCAGCACAATCTTCATGGTCGCAAAGTTGCTGTCGTACATGGCCAGCTCTTCGTCGCGTCCCTCGAGCAGCTGCGCGCATCAGCTACAGTAGTGTCGTCGTATAGCGCAAGTACCTTGAGATTGTACTTGAAGTCTTCCTGGAGCTTGTGGAACTTTTGCTTGTAGCTGCCCATAGCCGCCTCCTAGCCGCGCATAGGCGCCTCTCGCCACGCAAAAGAGGTACCTTCTCCTTGAGCATCGTCTCGAGCGTCCGAATCCGGTACTCGTTGATGTCATGGAGCTCTTTCTCCTTCTCGAGGATCAAGGTCCGAATGTTGTCGGGCCTTCCGTCCATCGCCGCCCCGCTCGGCCAAAAGATCCCTCGTTACAAGCACTCGTGGCCTTTTACGTTACAGGATCCAACCGGTTCTGGTCGTTTTAACCGGTTGGCGGTGGCCGCCAGAACGACTTGCGAACGTTGCTGCTTCAAGTGCAATTTGGGAATTTGACCACGATGCTGTCATTGACGAGGCTCGAGCACGGTAACACAACACACTGAACGTCTACATGAAGTTATTATAGTGTCTTATTGATTTTTCTCAATGTACAAGGATGACGGACGGTTTACGAACGCAACGACGTCGACTAAATAATTGTATTTGGGTGACGCGTCATAGCACGAACGAGGCGCCGTCGGTATGGCTCCAACTCATGTCGCCGCATGTGAGCAGCACGTCCAAGATGGATGCATCCAAGTCGTCGCCCGAGAGGGGTAGCGCCATCTCGGAGCTCGTGCCATCGTCGCTCATGGCACTGTCGCTGCAACAACCTTGGTGGCTACTGTCCGAGGGCGATGTCGGCGCGTTCTCGCGCTTGATGTACATGCGGTGGCGCCAGCAGTGACCACCAGCCCGCGCGGGCGTCGCGCAGCCTGGGTACAGACAATGCTTGCTCCCGCCGTGGCGAATGCAACGGTTGTGGATCTGGATCACCTTGGTGCAGCCAGGGTGGTGGCAGAGCTTCTTGTGCTTGCTGTGGCGGCAGCAAAAGTCACCGAGGCGCGCGTTTGTTGAGCACCCGGGGTGCGCACACGGGTGGCGGCCGCCGTGGCGCACACAGAGGCTCCGCGCGTACACTTGGTTGCGGCAGTTGCTGATGCGGCAAAGGCCGCGGTTGCGGTGGAAGTGGCACTTGACCGAGCCCTCCATGGGCTTGCTCGTGCAGCCGTGAAAGTAGCACAAGGCGGCGTTCTCCATACTGTCAAAAGTGCTCAAAATTGATACTGAGCTCACCAGCTTGGGGATGCGTGGCCCAAATTTCCTGCCGCGCGTGACAAACCAAAGCTCTGGTCGCTCATGTGATGGCGATCGTGCTGCGGGTGTAGGACACAGCCACAGCAGATGCAGCCCGTAGAGTCGCGTGACCCGCGTCCTTTCTAATAATCGGGGACGCGGATTGGTGCAATCTCACGTCGATCCGATGGGCGGTGCCACAGTTGTCACGAGCCAGACGGTGCCGCGCGACGCATGAAAGGCTGCAAGAAGGGTGCCGCTGGAATAGAAAAACTCAGGTGCCCTACACAACTGTAGTACAAATCGAGCTGGTATAATAGTATGCTTGTATTTCCACGCGTGCTTGCTTTAGTATGTACGCCGAGGTCTCCAAACGACGCGGATGCAAAAGTTGGGTTTTTGGCACATGCACGTCTCTTGGGTCGACAACGGTTCGTAACAGGTGCAGCAGCGGTACTTTCCACCTCCTTTGAAATTACCGCAGACCGCCGCCTGGTCTTTGTGTATACTGCCTTTGCAAATGCGCGGAGCCAACCTGATGAATTTCAGAGAGCCAGACAGACCATCATTCGTTTTTGGCAGTGGACACGATGAAATTCAAGGGCTTTGGGCGTTCGCGATGCCTCGTCCATTGCGACGAACGCTCGGCGGCGTTTCGAATTGCGTCATTTTTTGCTGCAGTAGGATGCACGCCTGCATATAGGCGTGCGCAATCCCAATGAACCCTTGAGTACAAAGGCAGAATCGTCGTGAACAGTATGGCTACCGTACTTGAAAGCGTTGTCCATTTCCGGGATCGAACTGTCTCCATAATAGAGCGTACCCGTTCTTGACGCTGTGCCCTCGACGAAAGGTAACACCAAGGTGACGCCTCGCGCCTGCGAATGCGAGGGCTCACACTCGAGATACGCCCTGAAATACAAGACTTTTTGAAGTTGGTTGACGATTTAACATACGCGCACACTGCGGCCGCAATTCGAACGTATCAATGGCGTGTCCTTGTCGCAACTTCAGTTTTTTCCTTTGTATTTGCCAACGTTTGTTGAGGTCGCCCAGGCGTGGTGCGAAACGACATCGTGCGAATTCCACGGGTGCCGCCCTCTACTTCTGACCATAGGAACGAACCAAGTGCGTTCTACTGTGTCTGTACGGCATGGAATCTTGCGTCCGATCACGCCGCCATTAACATTATAGATGTCCCTAGACTATGCCTATACAAGACTAAGCTGGTGCAAGCATGAAACGTACTGATTCATTAGACCTGACGTCTTGCTTCATGCTACCGTCACGTGCGAATCGGGTGAGCCAATTGTTAGGCTGTCACATCGTAGCAACACGTCCAAAATCGACGCATCCAAATCTTCAGGGCTCGAGCTCAACGCGCTCTCCACGTCGCTGGCTGCGATCGCATCAAAGAGGCCCTGGTCCCAGAGCGTGGTGTCGTTGCAGTTGGCGTCAGATTGGATCTCCTTCGTCGCATTGGCACTGTCTTTGAAGTGCTTGATGTGTTTGCGATGGCGCCAGCAGTAGCCACCGCACCGCGCAGGCGTCGCGCAACCTTCGTACTGGCAGTGCTTGCTTCCGCCGTGGCGAATGCACAAATTGTTGATCTGGATCACCTTGGTGCAGCCGGGGTGGTGGCAGAGCTTCTTGTACTTGCTGTGGCGGCAGCAAAAGTCACCGAGGCGCGCGTTCGTCGAGCACCCGGGGTGCGCACAGGGGTGGCGGCCGCCGTGGCGCACACAGAGGCTCCGCGCGTAAACTTGGTTGCGGCAGTTGTTGATGCGGCAAAGGCCGCGGTTGCGGTGGAAATGGCACTTGACTGAGCCCTCCATGGGCTTGCTCGTGCATCCTTGAAAGAAGCACGTCGTGTCGGCGGAATGTGTCGTGCTCATGATGATGTGAAGGAGGAAAATTGGCATGTGACCGTCCGGCGCCGTCTATCGTCACCATTGCAAACTCGTGTGACTCACCGTAGTAGTACTTTACTCTAGTCCACAAGTGCGGCAAGGGTATGACACAAAAGACAGACGTTTCTCGCCCACAAATTAGTGATCCCATCTGATTGGTCGTCAATGACGAGGGCCATTGCGGCCAAATTGCGGTTGGACGCAAGACGCTCAACACCTGAGGTAACAATAAGCTATAAGCAGCGACAGTATATTGGTACGTCTTTCATAAAACGGGCCGAGCATGAGGTTGTAGGATGAGGAACGGTGTCGATCGACGCCGCACGCCGTGTGATCGTCGTATTCATACCAAATTGTTTTTAAAAATGCTGAATTTTATTCCGCTACATGTCATCAACCAACATTCCGTGCGACCGTCATTCGAACTGGACAGGATCCAAGCCAGGCAGGCAGACTGTACCTTTTTGCTACAAGTTACTCAACACATGCGCCAACGCTAGTCGACAAAATACTGTATATATGCTTACTTGTTAAGCGCATGCGATGATCTATGCCTACAACCACGAAAGTAAATTGCAACCTTCGCGCATGCAGGTATATATTGAGACGGCTCGCGAGACAGTAATCTGCAGCACATGCCGACTAACCGATGCCGGAACCGAAACATGTTTGGTTTGAACAAGTGTGTCAAACCTAGCGTTTTGATTGCCATTAGTGCGTAGTATATTAGTGCAAAGAATGTGTAGTGTAGCACTCCAGTGTGCAATGAGGTGGCATAGGCGGCGTCACAGTGAACACGTTACGAAGATTGAAGGGTTAGCGCTCGGCGAGGAAGGCAACCTACTCGCCAACATGGTCGCCTACGCCGACGGCTCGGACTTTTTCTGCCGCGACGCTGCTGCCATGACCAGGATCAAAGCCGCGGCGCCGTCCGTCTTCGCCCGGTAGGACCTCAAGATGAATGAAGACAAGACGGAAGAAACACAGGTATTCAGGTCGACGCAGGTTGACGCGCCGACGCACGCGGTCTCTCTGGCATGGCACACAACCAAGAAGCTCGGCAGCCTCCTCAACGACGCGGCCGATCTGCGCGCTCGGAAGCGACTGGCGACAACGGCGTTCAACAACACGTGGAAGATCTGGATGCGTAGAGGCCTCATCTCGGAAGGCAACCGTGTGCGGCTGTACAAGTGCTACGTGCTCCCTGTCCTTTTGTACAATTGTGGCTCGTGGACCCTGACGCCAACGAGTCTGGCGGGTCTTGACAGCTTCCATCGCCGGCAGCTGCGCCGCCTTCTAGGTATCTTCCACCCGAACAAGCTCGGCGACGTCGCGCTCTACGACCGCTGCGACAGCGTCCCGCTGAGCGAGATCGTTGCCCGCCATCGCTGGCGCCTGCTGGGCCACGTGTTGCGCATGAGTGTAGACGTCCCTGCCAACCTTGCTGCCGCCCGCTTCTTTCACGCTCCCGAGGCGGCCCGTTTTCTAGGCCCCTCCAAGATCACGTTCCCGATCGTCCTGCACCGCGACCTCCAGTCGTTGACGCCGCCTCAGTCGCTGGCGTCTCTCGAGGACCTCAACAAACTGCGTAGCTCTGCCGCCGACGGCAAAGCCTGGAAGGCTTTTACACAGCGTGTCGTCATGGGCCTCACCCGCGACCGCAAGCGCCCCCGGACGACTACAAAAGAGCAAAACGAGCCCCCGCGCCGCCGCCTGCGCAGCCACGGCCCGGTGAGCGAATGAAGAAGAAAGAGATTTCTAGTCTTTACGCATGCGAACTCTTTGTAACAACGAAGATAACGCGAAACACGTTCATATATATGAAGGGTTAGCGACCAGGTTAGCGACTGCATGCAACAAAAGGAAACGCCCAATCTTTACAGCCAAAAAAATGGCAGCTACATACGCAACACCAACTCCGGTACGCTCAGGGCTATTCAATTACCAGTAAACAGATCTCTTCTAGAACGCTAAAGTGCAACGGATGCGAAGAAGGTGGGCCTGCATGCTAGAGTGTCCAAGGACCGAGGCACCAGGGACAGA